AAACCAGACTAGAGAGACCCGAATACAGATATCATGTCAGATCATCGAGACTGGACAACTCGGACCAATCAGTGCTTTAGAATGTGTCTATCATACGTACCAAAATACCAAAAAAACTGTGGTTAAAGAACCAATAATTAGGTATTAAACACTAAATAAAATTTGGATTCAAAAATTTAAAATTTCAATGGCTTTGTCAAGTATAAGCGTGCTCAGTTTTTTTCCTTACAGCTACTCGCCAGAAACAGATTAAAACCATGTTTTTGTTATTATTATGCATACGCAAATACACGAGATGTCACGAGAGCATAATTCAAGAAATAGCGACTATATCTTCGACTTGGTCAGATGTAATGTTAAAAAATACTCTTGCTGAGTGTTACATCATTCGATTAATTTGTCACCTGTCAAGAAAAAGCATCGCAACTCTTACTGGTTGACGACCCTTTTCCCCCGTAAATGCATCCGATTGGTCTATGGTTCATCGACATATACTTTCGCGTTACTGCGTTGTCGATCGGCTTCTAGCTTTTCCCTTTTTCCTGTCGATTCTGTCAGCCTACTTCGTGTGTAAGCATGGACATCGTCATTTCATCGTACATGTCTGTATTATATAAAACATCGAATATATGACAAGTCAAAAAATACAATTTCAATTCCTTTCTATTTTGTATCTTTGACATATTTCACTTCCTGGGTGTGTTTCCGTTACCATATGCTATATTAAAAACTAAAGGAATTTCCAAATTTATACTTTTTGTGAGAAAAAAGAGCGAATATTAGCGGCACGGTACCTTAAAAAAATAACCGACAAAATTAACAGATCAAATAAAAAGTCTATGATTTCGTACCTGCCATCATACCAAATTAAACAGGTAACCTGTTGATGTAACACAATTGACCTTTTGAAGATGGAATAGAGAAACATTCTTTGTGAAATGTAAGGAGAGTTAAAAACTTTTAAAAGACATTTAAGCACGTCAAGCTTAACCTGCTTTCCAACAATAGTTTTTCGATGTCTGTCATACTTTGAGACCTGTTTCGCTCAACTTAATAAACGACTTAATACATGCTCTCCAATCGGGCAAAACAGACAAATGCCATACGTGGTACACGTCAGGCGTTTTATTTCTGATTAGGAGATATCATCTGTCTCGTTACGTCAAATGTGTCAACTCTTGTCTTTTGATTTCTACAGATAAAGACTTTGGATTATATGTTTGATGATATTTTTCCTTGGAAACCGGATTAAAATAAAGAAAAAATGTAACGTAACGATTTTTTTTCGGTATCTTATTTTATTGTCACATTACGTAAGAAGCGATAGGGATATAGAAACATTCCGTACCTGCCACTACTAATACACTACTGATGGTAGAAGGTATCTGCTACACAACACATAGCAGTATATATACAAACATATACATGGGGCAAAGAAGTACTTCTTTGCCCCACATACTATTTTAAGTAATTCGTATCCTACGGACATACCTCCATTAGGATCCAGTGTTATATGGGATGATTTTACCGTCTATATTACTTCTTTGACCCAACCAAACATATACATATGTACTCACAGCGTATATATACACACATTACATAAAATGGGTCCATGTCGATACTTGATAGGTGTATCAGTAGCTAGTTTTGGTAGATATTTGTCGTCATTTTTTGTATTAACAGAAGGTGCATATTGTTCCAATCTCTGTTGACCATTACATTTACATAACCAAAGACATATTGGAGCGCATGGTGAATTATAATTAGGCACTTTTAAAAGTCAACGCTTAATAACAAAACCCGAACCACTTCACCACAGACACTACATTGATAAATAATATTGCATGTTTTTTGTCCTCACCGGTAGACATGGATCCGCTTACATTTAAATAATCCTGATCGCGATCAGTGGGGATATCAGTTTTATATAACAACAATGACAATACAAATTCAAAAGATGATATTGATGTTTTATTTACAATGAATAAAATACAATGTGAAGCGGTGAAGCAACATTCTCACCCATCATACTCTCATAAAACAAACGTAAGGGTGATCGACCATTAAAACAGTTAAGTTCAAAGTGATGAAATGTGTATCTTAGTATGTAAATAGTTGATATGTACTGAAATAGTATAACTATAGTGTAGTGTCCAACTTTATGACAACTTTGTAAACGATTTCAAACATTTCTATCAACTTGAAATGTTGTTAAATAATCGACAGCAGCAATTAGATTAAGTGCGCTTTCTCACATAGTGTCTAACTTTTATATTCGTCTTAATTATATAAAGTCATATCAGTATCACATGTTTAAGTACTTGCCGTCACAAAAAAAGGTATTCAGGTAACTTGACTACAGGTAACACAATCGGCCTTGAACTTTTAATAGAGAGACATTCCGTGTCATAAAAGATATCATAATTACACAGATGCTTCAACACTGATACACAAACTATCCCAGGACAGACAAGTGACTAGATTTACTGACATCAGTCCGTTAAAAGCCTATGGTATCAGTATCAGTGACAACAGTGACGAGGTGTTTCGCGATACCGACTCAGACACAAATGTAACTAAGACACGATAACATATAAATCTGTAGGTTACCGTACAATGACATTTTACGGATTTCAACTTTGACCTTTTCCAACAAAAGTTTATCGGTCAATATCTTGACGTGACATATGTTATTCAGAACTTAAGGAACTGCTTTATGCATTCTCTATAATCGGGCCAAAACCGACAATCATTACATGTGTTATATTTTGTATTTGTATGTAGTGTTACTTCTGATTTAGAGTAAGATCTTCTAAGTGCGGCAAATGTGAATAGTGCTGTCTTGTTTACCTACACATACTTGTGATGCTATGTTTGTTAAAAGTTAACTTGAGAAACCAGATCAAAACAACAGATAATAAATAATAATATTACGGTGTCTAATTACCGAAATAAAATTGGGATGAGAGAAATGAGCTGATACACTACAAAAGACACACACACACACACACACACACACACACACACACACATACAAAGAAAATATACCTACAAAACGTCTTTAGCGCTTTTATCTCTTCAAAGATAATCTTCAGACTGTTTATTTGAAGCAGATATTACTACGTCATAAACTATTGCGTCACATAAACGTTCGCTATAACGACGTCTGCTATATGCGTTACCGCCATGGCGATATCACAGCAATAGAAATACATAATGAAGGTCTTCAGGTAAAGGGTACTATTGGTTTATGATTACGTATTACTATTAGTGTATTATTTATAAAACAAAAATAGATAAATAAATATCAGGTCCATTACATTACTGATCCGACACACTACCTATGTCGCTAAACCGGATCTATTGCGTGGATGTAATTTTACAAGTATAACTCTTTTGAAGACAATTTAAAAACAATAAAAAAAATACTGATAGGTACTTATGTATGTACATCTGTGAATATGCAGAAGTTACCTTCAGCTATAAATGAAGTAAGCAAATTAAAAGATATTAGTCAAACAGTAGTACTCAAAAAGGGGCTAAGAAGTCTGATGATTTCAGCCTTCCGTAGCCTCACGTTAAATAACGTCTGCATTGTTGATTTGATAAATAGGAAATACATTAAATTTGTCATCAGCACAAGCGTGTATGTGTTTATTAAACGGTAATTATCTTATGCTGTCTGTTCGTATGTGCTGTATATGTACAGTCTTTTTGTGCCTTTGGCCGATACAATTAAAAACAATTGTTACCAATCAATAGGTAAATTAACTTACAATTCATATGCTTGTTAATCTTTAAGTTGAAGCCATTTCATAACTTAACATCGCTTCCTTCTATAACAATGCTACAAGTACCAAAGCAAGGTGTATCACATTTCAATACACATTCATTTAGGTTGTTACTTTCAAACCTTGGTCAAGTTAGAATACGTTTTAGAGTTTTTGGTTTTCTTTTGCTGTTTTTTTAAGCACACCGATCCAATGTTTTTTCTACGTTCGTTGCATCGTTTCGAATCTTCATATGTGTTTTACTAGAAATATTGTTAGGTCAGGATGACGATGTTCGGGTTGCAAATAGATGATAAATCGCCTGAATTTAGTGACACGTTTATTGCGCCAAAACCCCAACAAACAACAGGAAGTAAACACCTTCTAAGAAAAGGTTCGTGACCGGGTCCCGGTATCCGGAAAATGTCTATATAAACTTGCGCTGGACCTTAGTCCAAATATATAGGAGAGTCATTAACACCACAATATGTTGAAATCACAATGGATGAATGTTAAAACGAATGGCATAATACCCATGGTATCTACAACACGAGTGCGGGCCGTTAAATGTCCCTTTTAAATTGCCATCCTTTTACCTTTTTCAACAATACTCTCAGGATATCCTTGAGATTTCAAAAAGTAGTAAGTTCATCAAGCCGTTTCTTCATTTAAACTTATCACTCAGTATATTAACGATAGATGCTAGATTGAAAGAAATATTTAGTTTGACATGTTAGGAATATATCTGTAAACCGGATTCATGTCAGGTGTATTAGAAGTTAGCTTAGGAAGATATATGTACACCTAAATGATTGGGGTTTTTTGTGTTTCTTTTGTTTTTGTTTGTTGAATTTGTTTTTAATGGTTTGCCACTGCCAAACTATTTTTCATATTTTATACAAAATATTGAAAACAAAACTGCTTCATTAATGACATATAAAATGTATATATAGCAACTTTTGATTAACTCTGTAAACCAAACACTGTCTGAATAGTTGACAAGAAACATAGAAACATTTTAGGTTGTCCCATCAATACTGTCATCCCACTTAACACTGCAGTTCCTTGAAAAAAGTCCATGTCATTTTGCGACGTCAGCGGTTAGAATTTTATAAAAAAAAAAGACATGTAATTATCAATGCATTGTAATGTTATCTGTCTTATGCATTTAAGAATCGTCTTTCTTGTTCATAGTTCCATCACGTGTACTGTACCATCACCAAAGCCGATTCAAACATGTCCGCAACTGTCTACACACACAGCACTTGGATTTGTTACTCCATATTTCTCGTCCAGGAGACAACTTGCCTCTCCTTCATTCCACGAGAGAACATATATCTGGTTAGTGTAGTAGTCTGGTACAAACACTCTGTCATATATGTCACGTGCAATATCAAATTGTCCCGTCTTTTCTAACTTCTGACCATTGTCTAGTTCCCCACTCCACTTATGTATGACCTGATCAGATTTGTTGAAGACAGTCATTGCTTTACAATGATAAATATTCGCGCCATTGACACCAGCTATACTTCCTGGTGACAAACATACGATACTCAGCCCATCACCTCCACACGATATTTGTCTGATCCTCTCCCCGGACATGTTCAGTACCTGTATTGTTGTAGTGTGAGAAGTAACGAACACCTCGTCACTGTTATCACTGACACTGATACCATAGGCTTTTAACGGACTGATGTCAGTAAACCTGGTCACTCGTCTGTCTTTGGATAGTTTGTGTATCAGTGTTGAAGCATCACAACACGTGATCAGTAGTTCTTCGGTGTTGGTCACAATTCTTTAGATGCAAATACTGACATCCATGCGTGAGTGTCGTCAATAGAACATATTGAAGTGATTTGTGTCTGCCGAGGTAATCCGAAGGTAGAAATCTGACTAACCTGTTTGCTATCAACTTCCTTCTTCTCATACCCGATGTCTTCCTTCTTTGATTTGCTGAACTGAAGATATCCAATCATTGTTACCAACTGTTCCATTGACAAAGTGAGGTGGATGAGGTAACACGCTCTTTGTAGTAACATCATACAGCGGTATGGTGGTTCTCAGTCTCCCCGTCAGCTCAAACAAGGATGTACAAGACATCTTTTCTGTGTTTTGCTCTATACCTCCAATCAGTTTCTTTATCTCTTTGATATTATATATATTTTCGTGAGGTTGACAGTCCTGTTTAAAATTTTGCTCTTCTACTTCAACAAAGGACGATAACTCGACCAAGACTGTGTCAGCTATGGAATCAATCTCTGCTTTCAGGTTCAGTCTCTGGGTTTGTACAGTTTGTCGGACGACATCCACGCTCTCTTTGAATGGTTTGCTCACTTTTTGACGCTTTGATAGATTATCACTAAAATGATCTAACTTGGACTTGAGTACTTCTAATTGATCTTGCATATACTGTTTTTGCGAATCAATTTCCTCTTCAATAGTTTTGAATGTGTGCTGTTTACGTTTTTCAGTAAAACATATCGCACACATTACGATGTCACAGTCACAACAGTACAGGTCACATGTCTTACCTCGATGTGTCTTACATATCTCTGGAAGTACTATTTCGTCTTGTTTGTTCGCCTTCCTTATCGGTACAAAGTCATCATTCCGTGTCTTTCTCGCGCGTTGATGAACCTCAAAACAGAGGTCACATAAAGCCTCCGGACAGTCATTACAGTACCAGTTCACGTCATGTGTGCTTTCACACCATGCATACGTGTTTGGCACGTGCACCTGTGCACGGCGGATAGATAATTTACTCGCCATTGTTACTAGCGTCTAAATAAGTCCAGTAAAAATAAGCCATGTAATAGAGGCCGCCATTTGCATTTGTTCTGAATTCAACTTCCTTCTTCAGCTGACTGTTCTGTTACCTCACGTGTGTTTGGTTTATTGAATATACGTCTACGAAATGTTTATATCAAGAACCCCCACAAGGTTCATCATTTTACTGCAGTGTACTGTGAAGTCAAATCACGCTATCCTTGTTGGTGTATAAACTGAACTGGTTTTTGTCTTGGTGCACTTTATTTAAAACGTTGTAAGTGTGTGTTTTAAGTGTGTGTGCAAATGCAAACTTTTTCAATATACTTTTAAACAAAAGGATATATTGACAAATAGTTAGATGCCTTTTTAACTGTACTGACATGTATATATAATATACTAAGTCATTCTTTATAATATTCTTTTTTTTATGGGTTAACTTGAAATTCGATATTTGTGATGTAATGTACCTGCCAAAGATTCATCATTCATATAAGGGCTAGCATGCTGAAATTTCACTTTTTAAGATCGAATTCTTAAAAAAAAGAGTCACATACTTATTGAAACATTGTTTGTATTTTCGATTTGAGCCATTTTTCAAAAATCCAACGCATGTAACTGATGAATAAAAGGCACAAAGAATTTAACCAACGAACCTTTGGTAATAAATAAAACATACCGATATTGAATTATGTTATTTGAAAAGACATATGTTGGTCCCATATAAATTCCAAGATGGAAAAAGTATCAAGTAGTCGGTTTGAAAATCTTACAAAATAGTCACCTCTGTTTTGTAGTAGAGTCTTGATAATCCAAGCAATTATGTTGACAGCAATTACTGGGGAATTGTTATAGAGAACATAGCTTTTTGTTCAGAAGAATCGACATACAGACCCGTACACGTTCGCTGTTCCACCTTGGACGCAAACGGTACGGAAGTGCTACGCAAACGGTACGGAAATGCTACGCAAATGGTACGGAAATGGTACGCAAGTGCTACGCAAACGGTACGGAAATGGTACGCAAGTGCTACGCAAACGGTACGGAAGTGTTACGCAAACGGTACGGAAGTGCTACGGATGACGCTTACAAACGGTGATTGGTTTGTGGTGATAAGAACGGTTTTACATAAAAAGCGGAAGCATATAAAATATCTAAAACGAAACGAACATACCTACAATGCATATGAAGAAACATCAGTACACTGTAGGCTACGAGGTGACGTACGCTAACAGATCAACGCGACACACAGATAATAATAAGTTATGGTCAGAAGTATTTCCACCTGCTTACCGAATAAAATACTAATTAACATTGACAGTAAGTAAACTTGTGACGGTTTTTTTAACGAGAAACGTAATAATTAATAAGCCTAATAATAATAATTAAAAATGATATAATTTCAGACTCCTGTGTTAAGGATCCAGTACCTTTATTTCTATTTTTTATATCGTCTTTAATACTTCCATACACTTTTAGATTTTCCGTAGGACTTGGAGACCGATGATGTGCTTACTTATTAGTACATGCAAATACATGCATCGGAGATTTGAAATGTATACATGTTATACCATGTCTATTAATTAAATTTCATTTACAGATAAACAGTTTTTTTTTGTTATACATCTCTTATTGTATTATGAAAATGTAGTTGATTCTTGTTTAAGCATACATTGTACGTGTATATTGTTACGGGAGTTATTATATATATATTTCCAGTTTGAAAGGCAAGCTCGTGCATGTAGGAAACTATTATGAATAAGAAATAGATACATTTATCACTCATTTATAACATTTTTCACTTTGGGGGGGGGGGGGGGAAACATGCATATCTATGTGAGGATGCTCACAATCTCTTGTCTGTAGTTCCCCATGAAAACGTTATGGCGTTGGGGGAAGATGATGACATTTTCATGTAATTTCAAGTTAACTTGTCTCCATATTTAAGTAATTATTCGTGAAACTGGTGATGGGGAATAATACCGCACACAAAATCAAGTAAAAATGTTTGCTTTAAAGTATACGTCTCTGACCGTTGTCAGACATTTTATAGACAACACCACAATAGATGAGTGGCAAAACTACATAACATTTTGTTTTTTGTCTGTGCTCAATACATGTAAGTGTAAGTGCTACAGTATTTCATATTTTGTCATACATTTACGTCTCCTCATCGCCTGGTTCAAGTTCAAGTTGTTTATTGCTTTGAGTCGTTCGACTCACCAGTTACAAAGTAACAAAATTTGTGATATTAACTGTGCAAAATACAAAATAACATTACACAACATTTTACACACTCACAACACAATTACAAGTGCAACTATACCTATTTATAATAATTAGGTTCCTCTCGAATTTGCAAATTTTATATATTCTCCTAAGTTCGTTATTTCTTTTGAATTTTTCACACTCAATAATCCTTTCAATTTAAATATGCTTTGCTTTTAATATAATAAGTTTTCAAAACTATTGCTCGCAAATCAGAATGACATGATCTTCAACATCATCTAAATTACAAACATTACACACTTGACGATTCAATGTTTTGACAATGCCCTTTTTCTAATTTTAAGTTATGAGGAGATATTTCTTTTTATTTCTTTCAGATATTCTTTTTGTATGGGTTTACGCAGGTAGTTTTGTAGATCAAAATGATCGTAAATATATCTATAAAAAATTGCTTTTCAGAATATTCTATTTTTTTCTGCACATTCTTCTCTAAAAATGTCAATACACCGTTCTTTAACTAATTAATAAATCTTGTTGTCGTTAATATAATATTTCCAAATATACCCTAGGCCAGGTTAATCCCAGCCTCTGATATATACTGTCCACTGTGTAACTTGCTAAAGGCGCTAAGTGGTACTAATTGGTCAGCTGTTTAAAGGTCAATTATCTTTTTCATTGAACCATGTAAGTTCATAGGTACACTAGCCCGGAACCGCTTGACTGATTTTTGACTCCTTTATAATCACCACACACAGAGAGGGCACTCCGTTAACAAACTTCCTATAGACAGAGACGTATTGTAATATATACATCTCTGCTATAGACAACAAGGAATCACACTCTATTTTCTCAGGAACTCAGTCACATGATGACAATAAAGTTATCTTCATAATGACTTTTTTTAATGATTACTGAAAAATATCATCATTTTCAATAATCTGATATGAAAAGTTTGTTACGTATTAGGGTTAGTATTCAACCTTGCTCGCTGATAACAGAACTCATGATAAAAAAATAGGTTTAAAACAAATCATCTACGTGAGAAGTTAAATATCCTAATAAGGGACTTTTGTTTTTATTAAATTAGGAATTCCAAGTTCCAAATATGAGTTTACCTTGGTGTTAAGGCACTGTTGTGAAATGAAATTGTGCCTGGGCTGCTGTCATTTCCTGATCGAGGGACAGCCAAAGTATCTTACCTGTAGGTTTTTACCTTGAACTGATTTACCTGTATACAGCTGTACGTGGTGGATAGACAATGAACTGGATTAATTGACATGGACTTAATTGACTTGAAATCACCTTGTTCAGGTACCGCAAATCAGAATCCAATGTGACCACAGGTGAATGGTCAATGCATTATCACTGCCTAGATTCTCAGGTATATAGATATCATATTGAAAGAAATGTATCTGTCAGTGGGTGGTCATGTTGCCCTAACAACCTTTATAACGGACAATAAAATTGTTTATACCTTAAACAAGGGACAGGTCATTCCCACATGGCCAGCTGTATGCCTGTTATTTAAATTACCCCTAAGGCCTAGCTGCTGGTGTGGGGAACACACAGTAGGCCCATGGGGGGAGGGCTGTTACGTCCATGTATGTGTAAACCGTCATTTTTGTGGGGGGTTTTCCTTCAGACTTTTATTATGGTTGGAATAATTTTCACGTAATGCGGTTTATAATGGGTTTTTTTGACAGTTCGTTTCGACAAATATGTATTCCGTAAAATTTTTGACCGAACGTTTCACAAACGCTTTTTAAATGGAAAGATGTAGACGCAAGTGCTACGGAAACGCTACGGAAGTGCTACGGAAACGCTACGCATGTGCTACGAAAATGCTACGGTAATGGTACGGAAGTGCTACGGAAATGCTACGCAAGTGATACCCAAATGGTACGGAAATGCTACGCAAACGGTACGCTGAAAGTGGAACAGCGAACGTGTACGGGTCTGTATGTATGTGAAATATGATTCCTTTTTCTTTGTATTAATAACAGTTTTTTCCATTGCTGTGTTTAATTAAATTTACAGCGTGCAATGATATTTTCATATGCATTCATTGGCAAATATACAACTGAACATTTTGATTACTCCCTTTTTTATGATTTTTTCTTTGTAGTGACGCATTGTTTATCATATATTTGTGTAATATTTATTACACAGTACAATTATTTTAGGTTTAAGATAAGAACTTTTCTAAACGTCCGGATTAACATGCGCTTATAGGATGCATTGCCTTTATAAATTGAATAAACGACATAGAAACCCACGTGAGTTCGGGGTCACAACGGAAATTTGGGCAATATGTTATTTTCTTTTACTGTAAACAATGAAACAAAAAAATAATTTGTTGTAAACAACCCTATCTTTGTATCTTAAGAACACGCACGGAGACATTACAACATAAAAATAGATTTGTTGATCTGACGTCACAGATAGATTGCATCGAACTCAGTTAGTAACGATATACATTGAGTACAAAATAAATAGTAGATATATACACACATATATTTTATAAACATTAACTAGAAATACGATTAAATGAAATATCTATTTGATACAGATAGGCATGCAAAGTTAAAATTTTCCTGCACCGTATTGAAATTTAAATAAAAAATGTTATGTGTATGGTATTGTGTTAAGTTGACTTAACTATTTTATAACACTAAGGAAACAACTTATATCAACGTATAGCAATCATTATATGTTGGGCATTATGTTATATTTTAGTACACATGGACTTGTGATGGGAAACAGGTGTACCTGGAGAAAACCACATTGTCGGACTGGTGACTAAATACATGTCCACATCCGATTTGGAATCGAACCCCTGTTGTATTAGTGAAAGGCCAGCGCGCTATCAACTGCACCATTCTATCAATCATTATTTTAGCATGTACAGAGTTTTGTTTGAAGCTTAAGCAGCTTAAGTATTCAGAAAAAGTGTTGATTTTGCACCTTTAATTTCAGCAGTAGTGTTGGTATATAGGTATATAGGTATATATACATCTTTTAAGACCATGTAGCTTGGTTACATGCCCTAGTATTGAGAATATGGGCATATATATGGATGCAATGCAGGCTATCTCGGATATTCTGAAGATACCTCTGTTTCCGTACAAATTCATTTAACGTCTTCACCTTTGACCTGCTATCCACTGATGGGATCCCGATCTGTCACGATTTAAGAACAATATCTCATAAATTTATTGACTGTCTTGCTTACTGTGTTACAATCGCCAGTACCCAAGACATGGGTATTTCATGCGGTACAGGATACACTTCTTCATCTTTTGAGCATTTGGTATTACTCCCGGTATTTTTAGGGATTCGTGTTATCTTCATCAGTGTGAAGCAGGCGTCTGTTGAGATGTTGTCTTTACAAGTAGATTTATACTATGCTTTTTTTTTAATTAAGATTACCGGATTAACATTGCAACACTTGGGTATGTATATTTTCTGTTCTATCTTTCATACATTTCCCGTTTAGAATTATCACCCATGGATTTCCTCTTCGCACGACCTCAGCCGTTTCCAGGACGATACAAAAATGAATTAACGATGGAGATACTACCACAGCTTATCCCCCCAACAAACCAATAAAATCAAACCAAAACACAGCGAGACATGACGGTCACCTATCATCGTAACAGTTCGTATATACTTCTAATGATAGTAGTTGTTTGATACTCTACACAACCGTATATATACAAACGTATACATGAGCTGTATCAGAAGTTAATTTGGGTGAATCAATCTTTAACATTGTAATTTTGCGTTAATAGAATATATACCGTGCAAATGTCTTTGGACCATCACATCTACAAAGACAAGGATAAATGTCATGACTTCGCTTATTTTTACAACGTTGATGTGTGATCCTGATTTCGATTATACGTTGAATTCGATCAGATATGATAGAAATGACAGCACGAACTCAATCTGTGAAATGGATTTCTTTTTGTTTGTATACAATCTATCAGTAAGATATATGTTGTGGTTGACAAATCATTTTACATCCTTACGTGCTTTCCATTGGTATTAGGCTTCATCGATATACACGTTCGCTTTACTACGTTGTCAATCGGCTTCCAGTTTTAACCTTTTTTTCTCCTCGAGTATGTCTGCGTGCTAGCATGGACATCGCCATTACATCGTACGTGTTTGCGCATGCTTTACATTATGTAAAATATCGAAGTCTTGAAAACAAGTAAGAAAATAAAATTCAAGTCCTCGCTATTTGATACCTTTGACACATTTCACTTCCTGGGTGTGGTTTTGACGGGAGTTTTATAATACCATTTGCTATATTAAAAAGATATAAGAAATGACAAATGTATCCTTTTTGTAAGAAACTGCAAAATAAACGCAATAACAAACAGACCAAATACAAATGATGAGTCTATGTTTTCATACCTGCCATCATACAAAGGTGTTGATGTCACACGACTGACCATTTAAAGTTTGAAAAGACAAACATTCAGTGTCAGGTAAAACATTAATAAAACGAGTTTCCCAATACCATACGTAAGCAGAAACAACACGCAGCAAGTTACTATCATGTAAAGCCACACAAAGACAGTTTCGTCAAATTAAACCTACTTTCCAACAATAAGATGTCGATATATATCATAATTTGAGAATTGTTTCGAATAACTTCAATAACAACTTAATACATGCACTCGAATTTGGCAAAAAAAACAAACACGAATGTCACATGTGGTACAAGTCTGGTGTATTGGTATTTGGTTTTAATATGATTGTTCTAACTTATCTGTCTCGTTACGTCAAAAATGTATACATTTGTCTTTTTTTTTCAACAGATAAAGACTGGTGATTCTATGTATGTTGATATTTTACCTTGGATACCAGATTAAAACAACGAATGTCTTAAACAAAACATTTTTTCGGTGTCATGTTTTGTTGTTATAATACCGCAAGGGCACCTACAAGTTATCTACTGACTGTCATATATTTCTAGGTGAGCAATACTAAAACACTGGTTATAACCGTAATTATCTGATCCACTATATAGCCGTATATATACATTATATACAAACACATTTATAACGAACCTATGTCGATGACTTAGGTGTATTAAAAGGCGGTTTGGGTAGATTTATGCTTAACGTCGTCATTATTGTTGTAACAGGTTGTACTTATTATTCAATTATATTTTGACCATTACACTAGGTAAAGGATATGTTCGTATGCATTGAGAAATGTAGTAAGTCAGCTTTGACTGTCAAAGCTTAATATATTTAACTATATTGTTTAAAATAATGCATGTACTTTGTTCCGACGGGATACATCGATTCCACATATTTCATTTGGTCTTAAACCCTTTCACTAGGGTTATCGGGTTTAGATAAAATTAATGACAACACAAATTCAATCGATGAAAATAGTTTTTTTTTAATCACAATGTATTAAAGAAAAATACTCGGACTGGTGCGGCGATATTCTCAGCCACCATACTCTCATTTAGCAAAACATTACGAGTGCTTGAAAATGAAAACGGTGAATTTCATAATGATCAAATGTGTTTTTTATTAATAAATTCATATACTGAAACAGTATAATTGTGCTTTACTGTTCAAACTTTTTAACTAGTTAAATAAATGAATAAAAGGATTTGTTTCAATATAACATGATTTTACTGTAAATAATCAACAAGACGTTATCTCCCATAATACTGATAAGATATAGACTTTCTCACTCACACACTGTAACATGTGTTACTGACAGCCTGATTTAACGTGTCTTAAAATGATCATAAGACAGTGATCATATTAAAATGAAGCAAAGATTCTATTTCATGAATTGCTTTGAGTAATAAAATGTGATAATGCATCATTTAGTGCAATGGGTTTACACTAATAATGCGACGTCTTCCAATTGTAGTTGTACCGTCATCTGCATTTATCTTCACATTTTGTATTTTATTATGATGTAACATGCATAATGATCAAATTGATTTAGAACTCTGTAATCATTTCCTACCTGTGACACATTAAAGGTAAAAAACAGAAACGTGTGATTAAATCAAGAAACCATAAACAGTCTGTTTAGTTGACTTGTTAGCACTATCATTATATGAAACAAAGTGAAAATGCATTTGCGACGTAGGCAGTTATGAAGTATAGAATGCAAACATTTCTATTGTCACAATAATGCAATATTATTTGTTTCCATTCATTGAAACATCTTCTCACTTGTTTATAGTTGCATAACATGTACTGTACCATCGAAGCATCCGATCCAGACATGTCCACATCTGTCTACACCCACAGCCACTGGCTCTATTACTTTATGTGTCTTGTCCAGGAGACACTTGGCATTTCCTTCATTCACCGATAGGACGTACACCTTGTTTTTTTGGTAGTCTGGTACGAAAATTCTGTCATATCCATCACGTGCTATATTATAATGCATCGTTTCGTTTACCTTCTGACCATTGTCCAGTTCCCCACTCCACTTGTGTATGACCTGATCAGATTTGTTGATGACAATCACTTCTGTACAATGCAAAATGTTATAACCAGTGGTAACAGTTATATTTCCTGTTGTCAAACATACGATACTCAGCCCATCACCTCTACACGAAATGTTCCTGATCCTCTCCCCGGACATGTTCAGTACCTGTATTGTTGTAGTGTGAGTAGTAACGAACACCTCGTCACTGTCACTGACACTGATACCCCAGGCTTTTAACGGACTGATGTCAGTAAATCTGGTCACTCGTCTGTCCTTTGATAGTATGCATATCAGTGATGAACCACACGTGATCAGTAATTCTTCTGCGTTGGTCAATGTCAGACACCGCGGTACAAAGTCAAGCTTGACAGATTCTGTGACCTTGCCTTTCTTGTTGACTTTGATCAATTCTGTAGATCCAAGTATTGACATCCATGCATGAATGTCGTCAATAGGACATATCGAGTTGATTTGTGACTGCTTTCGTTCTTGGAATGTAGAAATTTGACTAACCTTTCTACTGTCAACCTCTTTTTTCTCATACCTGATGTCTTCAGTCTTCAATTTGTCGACCTGAATATAGCCAATCATTGACTTCAACTGATCTGCGTTAAATGTTCCAGACACGAAGCAAGGTGGGCGAGGAATCACACTCTTTGTAGCAACATTATACAGCGGTATGGTGGTTCTCAGTCTCCCCGTCAGCTCAAACAAGGATGTAGTGGACATCTTTGCTGTGTTTTGCTCTACATCTCTGATAAGTTGTTTGATCTCTTTGATATATTTTTCGTGAGGTTGACAGTCCTGTTTGAGAGATTTCTCTTCTTCTTCAACCAAGGACGATAACTCGACCAAGATTGTATCAGTTATGGAATCAACCTCTGCTTTCAGTTTCAGTCTCTGAGTAAGTACATGTTGTCGGATGACAGCCACGCTCTCTATGAATGACTTGCTCACTTCATGACGCTTTGATAGATTATCATCAAAATGGTCAAACTTGGACTTGAGTATTTTTAATTGATCTTGCATGTAATGTTTTTGCGAGCCAATTTCCTCCTCAATATTTTTGAAAGTATGTTGTTTATGTTTCTCGGTAAAACACATTGCACAGATCGCGATGTCACAATCACTACAGTACAGGTCACATGTCTTACCTCGATGTGTCTTACATACGTCTGGGATAAAGACTTCGTCTTGTTTAATCGCCTCCTTTATTGGTACGACGTCATCATTCCGTGTCTTTCTTGCGCGTTGATGACCCTCAAAACAGCGGTCACATAACGCCTCATGGCAGTCATTACAGTACCAGTTCACGTCCTGTATGCTTTCACACCATGCACACGTGTTGGGTACGTGCACCTGGGCGCGGCGGATAGATAATCTACTCGCCATTGTTACTAGCGTCTAAATAAATCCAGTAAAAGCAATCCATGTCATAGAGGCCGCCATTTGCATTTGTTCTTGATTAAACTTCCTTCTTCAGCTGACTTTCTGTTGTGTAAATCACGTGTGTTTTGTTTAGCGAATAGACGCCTACAAAATATGTATATCAAGAGCCCACTTAAAGTACATCACTTTACCGCAGTGTACTGTGAAGTCAAATACACCCAACTATGTTGGTGAATAAACACGCATATAAAAGGAGGTCAATAAACTTTTTGTCTTGGTGTACTTTATTTAATACTTTTTAAGTGTGTGTGTATATGCAAACTTTTTCAATATACTTTTAAATAAAAAGTTAGATGCCCTTTTAACTGTACTGACATGTATATATAATATACTAAGTCATTCATATAAGAGCTAACATGCTGAATTTTAACTTTTTAAGATCTAATTCTTAAAAAAAAGAGTCTTATCCCTTTTTTTTCTAATATATATCACATACTTATTGTAACATTGTTTGTATTTTCGATTTGAGCTATTTTTCAAAATCCAACACATGTAATTGATGAATGAAAGACACAAAGAATTTAACCAACGAACCTTTGGTAATAAATCAAACTTACCAATATTGAATTATATTATTTGAAAAGACATTTTTTTGGTCCCATAAATATTCCAAGATGGCAAAAGTATCAAGTAGTCGGTTATTAAGAACACGTTTAACTTACCCTTTATGAATAAATAACGCTTTTTGTTAGTCATCAGCAACTTTAAATACGTCATTTTCATAAATAAAAACACGTACATAATTATCGTCCCGATAGATAATTATTGTATGTAGTATAACTTTTGTTGTTCATTTTTACTAAGCTATCGGCGCGGTAGTAGCATAGCTTTTTGTTCAGAAGAATCGACATATGTATGTGAAATATGATTCCTTCTTCTTTGTAATAATAACAGGGTTTTTGCATTGCTCTGTTTATATGTTGATATTTATTGCATGTTAAATTCACTTCTACAGCGTGCAACGATATTTTCATATGCATTCATTGGCAACGGAACATGATTTTTTCTTTGTAATGACGCATTGTTTATCATATATTTGTGTAATATATATTGCACAGTACAATTAGTATAGGTTTAAAATATAAACTTTTCTAAACCTCAGGATTAACATGCATTAATATGATGCATTGCCTTTATAAATTAAATAAACGACATAGAAACCCACGTGACGAAGGAAGGCAGTTTTATTACTCATTCGCTGTCCGTCGGTGGTAGGATTTGCGAACAAACATTCTACGCTAGGCGGTTCGGTGGCGTAGGTCGTGAGTTCGGGGTCACAACGGAAATTTAGGCAATTTGTTAATTTATTTTACTGTAAATAATAAAGCAAAAAAGTAATTTGTTGTAAACAACCCTATCTTTGTATCTTAGGAACACATGTGGAGACATTACAACATAAAATTATATTTGTTGATCTGACGTCACAGATAGATTCTATCACAGCATCGAACTCAGTTAGTAACGATATACATTGGATACAAAATAAGTAGTAGATATATACACACATATATGTTATAAACATTTAGAAATACGATTTAATGAAGTATCTATATGACACTTTGGTTATTGATACAGATAGCCATGCAACATTTTCCTGCACCGTATTAAAAAAAAAAAAATGATATGTGTATGGTATTGTGTAAAGTAAGTAATAACTTAAATATTTTACAACACTAAGGAAACTCCTCATATCAACTTATAGCAATCACTCTTGTTGGCCAGTATGTTAGCACACATGAACTTAAATGTGAGGGGAAACCGGGGTACCTGGAGAACACCACATTGTCGGACTGATGACTAAATACCTGTCCACCTCCGATTTGGGAATCGAACCCCTGTCGTCTTAGTGAAAGGCGAGAGCGCTATCCACTGCACTATTCTATCATCCAGATGAAAGCTCAAATGATATAATCATTATTTTAACATGTTAAGAGTTTGGTTTGAAGCTTAAGCATACTAAGTATTCAGAATTAAGGCGTTGATTCTACACCTTCAATTTCATCAGTAGTGTTTGTATTTAGGTATATATACATCTATTCAGACCATATAGTTTGGTTACATGCCCGTGTATTAAGAATATGGCCTTATTCCAACCTCTTGTTATGACGGAAATGGAATACTGTGGTCAGCAAACGTTTCCGATATTGGTATGCAAGTTACTAATAATAAATTATTAATGGAAACAAATAATCATGAATGAACTATCAGAGTCCCGTGATCAGTAAAGAAAGTATATACTAGCAACAGTATCGTAAATCATATAAGACTCTTTCATGCCCAGGGGTGTAGGATAGGGAAATTCCACCCGAGGGTTTTTCAAATTTGGTAAAACATAATGGTGGAATTTCCCTATTCTACACCCTTGGGCACGAAAGAGTATTTTTATCTCATTCCAATCACCAGAATAGGCCAAGAAACCATGAAAATGCCTTTGTACTGGCCTCCATTTTGAAAATATCAATTTTCCCCCTCATTTTTTAGACGAAAACGAATTAGCCAGCCAGATTAAGCATACACCATATTCGCAAACAATGTTTGAACAGAAAAATGGATCGCATCTTCCTTAAGTGTACGGTAAATATATCGTAAAAGGTTTTAATTTCATCACGTCCCCTTTTCCGCATGGCGGCATTTATCTATTTATCGATTTATTTCCAATTCAACAGACCCAAGGGTCCACTAACAGAATGGATAACATCATGACAATACAAGTATAAAATATCACAGGCATGGGAGAATTCCAAATTCGTGATATCACGTCATTGTTGAGCCATTATGACGTCACGTCACGTGAAATGGGGTGTAAGATAGACATTTCTCCCACACTTCACAGGTTGATCCCGTTGTTGCTAGGGAAAAGATAACTCTATCTTACACGAGGTAGGGAAAGACAGCTGACACCCGCTATGACGTCATAATAATGGATTGTCGACGTGACGTCATTTTATTGTTTCCGTGATGTCATACAATTGTTGTGAATGGAGAATCATCCGTCTCAACCATAGGGCTTTGGAATTTGCCGGAAGAATAAGATCGATGTTTATTTTGACTAGAATTTGTTTATTTGTATGTATGTGAGATAAATAATCAAACATGGGTCTGTTCCGTGGACAGACCCATGTAAGATTATATTATTCCTACACCCCTTTCTTACCGTGGACAGCTCTATCTTACACACAGGAAAATGAGAGAAAGTTATATCTTCAAATGAGTTGTACTTCTTGTTCTACCAAATAAATTTGTTTTCCTGGTACTTGGTTTTAAAATAATCATTTTTGAACGAAAAGAAACTCATCCCTTACGGGGCAGTTATGAAAAACAAAAGTTATAAATTTTAAAATTTTAAACGGGACCGTACAGTGCGACTAGACAAGAATTCGAACAATCGACCTTACATTTTATTAATATTGCTCTTACCGATTGCATTACATATACCTAGTTAACAAAAGATGCCTTGCCCAATTGTGCTGAAGTTATCATCAAACAGAAATAGGAGAGGTTATTGTATGTGGGAATATCACAGTGAGGTGCTCTTTTGTTTTTCCTCGAGTGGAATAGTGATCCTTAAATACTCAAAAAGATACAGCTTTATTTTCTATTGATTGATTTAGTTATCTTTCCGATATGGGATGCGTATTATCGATGAACAGTAGCGTATATGTAATCGATTTTTCCAAGTATAGAAATGAAATGTTATAATTAGCTACTACATGTAGATAGTGTGAATTTAGCAGACCTCGCTGGTAGGAGGCTCCCAAACCATTGGAAACTTAAATTTCACCACAAGGTAGACCTTGGAAATTATATCTATATTATTTATGTATTTTTTTCATTTTATTTTAACATTTTTATTATATTTTTTAAAGACACCATGTTTTAATGCAGTAAATACAAAAGAAACCTTTTTTTATTGATTATGGTATGTAATGATATGTAAGTACAAAATCCAGGAGTTTGTAAGGTAGGGGCTGTCCTAATCATCTGTTCTCTTGATCGGAGCTGTGAAAGTTTGTGTTAATTTATTGATATATTACGTATTCTTAACTGTTCTTAACAAAATTATGATATTATTTCTATACAATGTTACATTAAAATTGTTGATCCCTGCTATGTATCTATTTGTTTTAATACTGTGTAGCTATATACTTGTAAAATGTAATTGTGATATATGACACTATCATAAACAACATTGACCCTACTTCACTTGTTACCTACACTTTCAATAGTCAAACATGCATTACCTGCGATAACGAGAGAGAACACACGACAGTTTACTACTCGATATGCAATTCCTACCAATAATTATCTTGTTTGAAAAAGAAAAGAAAAAAATATCCGTTGAAATAATCAAAATTAGTTATATTTTACTTTACATCCAAATGAAACCAAATTAATTCAGATAATTTACATTAAACTAACATTTAGTACCTTTGTCAATTAATTAATCATTTATTCTTAAACAAAAATCTGAACATCATTTATATATGAAGGGATATTAGCTGCATTAACTGCATCTATTTAAATATATGTATATGCAATTATAATGCACTCTTAATGGTTTACACATTTAATATCCGAAAAATGAAAAATTCAATTAGCAATGCATGAATAGAGAAACGCAAATGCATATGAATGGCCCTCTATGCTTATGAGCTTGTGTGCTAGCTTCGTTTACAATTGTTGTCTATACACAGCGGAAGTTTAGGTACATGCATACATAAGTACATGCTGGCTGGTGACATTTCCGACTCATCAAAACTTCCGGTTCGTTTATAACTCATATAAGGAACAGATTGTCTACACATGTGATTTAAACCTTTTGACCCAATCTCTGTGGTATCACGTGTCACTGTTCCAATGGTGGCTACACAGACACATAGCTGTTTTGCGATTTGCACATGCGCAGTGACGTTTTGCTTTTACCCTCAATTATCCTTTATTATCATCCCTGAAGCATTGTTATGACGGCTTATCTTTTTTATTAAATTATACAATTTGTAATATTGGGTTTTATTTTCTCTTTAAGAAGACAAACTGTTACCTTTATTAAGCAGGATTAATACATCTATAAGACATTTCTTTAAATGCCAGCAAGATCGTATTGTAATTCATTTGAAATCAAGCTGTATGTTGACAAATCATAGTTCACGGCGATATGAGAAATGAGAGCACGGAGCTCGAGCGGAAGTAAATACTATTCACATCAACATTTATCTAGCTCAGGACCAGCAGCAATTACCAGTGTTAGCGAGGATGGTTTGTCCCTCCCGTCTCGACAGTGACACAAACGTACACACGATAATTACCTGATTAACACAACAAAATGGCGACAAAATCTGTGACAGCATTGGTGGTGTTTCTAAGTTTCGTTGCTGGAACAGTTAGAGGTAAGTAAAAATATATTCATAAACGATGTATGCATATTGTAATAATATGCGATATATATATTTGATCGTTTCGTTGTATTTTAGAAGAAAGATTTGTCTATTTTTATAGAATGCCTTAATGGTGTGGCTTTATTTGTGTTATTAGCCACTAAGATAGGGGTTACCAGGGACTCACAACCGAATAGAAATATACATAGATATAAGAGAGGGAAGAAATACCGTTACAGTGTAATATTGAATACCCCCAATATCAACATTATCGCCTACCTATTGTAACTATTATCTTCTGTGTTTGCACCTCAATATCATCTTTATCACCTACCTGTTGTAACTATTATCTTTTTTGTTTCCACCCTATTATCACCACTATCACCTACCTGTTGTAACCATTACCTTCTGTGTTTACACCTCAATATCACCTTTATAACCTACCTGTTGTAACTATTATCTTGTGTTTACACCCCAATAACACCATTGTCGCCTACCTATTGTAATCATTATCTTTTGTTTATAGCCCAATATCACCATTGTCACCTACCTGTTGCAACTATTATCTTTTTGTGTTAACAACTCAATATCACCATTGTCTCCTACCTATTGTAATCATTATGTCTTGTTTATATACCCTAATATCACCTTTGTCACATTCCTGTTGTAATTTTTACCTTTTGTATTTATAGCCCAATATCACCATTGTCTCCTACCTATTGTAACTATTATTTTTTCCGTTTATACCCCAATATCACCATTGTCACATTCCTGTTGTAATTTTTATCTTTTGTGTTTATACCCCAATATCACCATTGTCACCTACCTTTTGTAACTATTATTTTTTGCGTTTATACCCCAATATCGCCATTGCCACATTCCTGTTGTAATTTTTCATCTTTTGTGTTTATACCCGAAATATCGCCATCTTCACCTACCTTTTACAATATTCTTCTATGTTAACAATAATCTTTGCTGCTAATATCTTTTTATGTACGTGTTCTACTGTACGGTCCCGTATATGTTGAAAGATATTTAAGACGGTATCAAAAGAACAGAAATACTGAGAAGGGTTTTCATATTTAAATATTTAGTATGGAAGTGCTGAAGGTCAAACGAAGTAAACTTGTTTTATTTCTTAGTCAAATTCTGACTCATCAGTGATGATTTGTTCAAAAGGACAAAAAAAAATCCTACTGTCATATGAACCTAACTTTCAATACTTGTTAAACACTCACCCAGGGCTAGTTGTTTAAAGAGTCCTTTTCTTGATGATCTATTTTCTCATTCTGTTATCCAAAACATGTAATATAGATTATTGATTTAAATATTATTCTTTTTATCCTATTCAAGACGACAGAACTACATCAGCGAAATACATTTAACTTAAGGTCAAAGGCGTAAAGGTTAGCGTTAGATATAAATGCCACTGTAACATGCAAAGGTTATAGTTACTTTGTACAGTGCTATTTGGTTAATGAAGCGAAGTGGTCACATTCAATGTCAAAAGGTCAATATTACAATATTACAACGTGTTGTTTAAGCTTGGTGTACAAGATGGACATCGATCTACTTTTTGATAACACAGGATAAATTGATCTTCTGATGTAATTGTTTCATTTTAACGAATGTTAAATGTTAAACTCAGACCTATCTGGCAAAGTGTTTCATTGCGCTTTGAATATATTTCATATATAACTGCAGGCAGATAAGCTATGAGTTATATACTAAAAGGAGCTAGCAAATATTGATTATTCAAAACGCCTTCGTTTCAGTTCGTTTCCACGCGACAATATCATTTTAGTGAGCCTTTGGTAGCTCCTTCTTAATGGTTTACTGTTTTCAGGAATGGTTATCATCACACTTTATCATACTGTATCTATTTCCAAATTTTAAAGGTTAACTTATCTGTGTGTATGGTTGTGTGTTACGCTCACATTTCAAGATACTAGGCGATATATTGTGTTTTATATGCCGCTTTATCACAACCTAGTTCGAAGGTCGTCTCAAAACGGTTCCCAAATTATTATCCATGGTTATACGGCCTTTGCAACCAGCCAATACCTTTCTCAACTGCCTGGAGAGCATGCAGCGTGTGCTGCCATTTCGGCGCTCACAGGTAGCATTCAACGATTCTTGCACTGCCCAACCACATACCACATTCTAATTTACTGCTGAGCAGACTGGAACAGGTGGAGTAAAGTATCTTGTTCAAGGATACAACACCGTGCCGTGACGTGACTCGAACCTGCAACCCTCCGGTCACGAGCCAGGTATCCTACCACTAGCCTACCGTACCTCCGTAGTAATAATATTTGAGTTATGCCGCGGTTCACAATATAGACATTGTACTTGTTATTTCATTGAAATTGACCAGTACTTCTCTTGTTTGTTTATGAATTAAGGGACCTTACACGCCTAACCCTCTGTTTCTCCAACTTATTTACCCCTGGCATAATTAATGAGTCCTAAAAGGGCGAAACAACTGCATGGTGTAGTTTAATTCAATTTTGGCATACTGTAGCTATTACCAAATTAAAACTAATGACATGCCCATTATACAATTGCGCATGTTTTGAAGTATCAATATATATAATGCTTTTATGTGAATGTCACACTCAATTTAATAATTTTTTGTTGGAAACAATTAAAATAGAGCATTTATGTATAGGAAATGGATGACAAGATATAACGATAAAGCGTGCCTGCAATGAAAACTATTTCAATGATTTAAATACATAATGCTGTGTTTGCTCGATCATTTTGTTCTTGCATTGCAAATCAAGACCATAGCAAATGGATACCGACAATGCCCTAAGAAAGAAAAAACGTGACGTTTGCAGTCACGGAAATGGTTAATGATTTATATAATCGCTCGAGCGAGGTGATTATCGGTTACACGGGGTTGTAAATACATCTTGTCCAACTAAACGTATTCCATCAGTGAATCGCACTGCAGAAGCGGAGACAATTTCTCACTTCCTGTAGCCTTTTTCTTTTTATGGAACACGACAGCTCCACATTTTATCCGTAAATCACGCTAATAGAGTAAATAGAGCGACAAGCATCCAGTTAAAATAATTATAGCAAACAACAGTACGAGCGTCATTAAGTAATATACAGTATATATGTATGGAGATGTATTTAAAGATAGTTCATATTCGATGAGAACTTAGATTATTTTCCATCTGTCAAAATTATTTTTATTCTGCATCATTAAGCTAAACACACTTTTTAATCTAAATTGTGCTATATTACCCCTTTTCTCTCTATAATTATCCTCACTTATCCTGATAGGATATTAAGATACACCAGTTTCTGCTTGATTTTATTTTTCTTCCAAAAAATTAATAAGTTGTTATTGAGAGGGGGGTGGGGGTGTTGTTACAAAACAAAAACACAAGAGAATACCGAAGTGTCAACAAAACCAGAATAAGAGCTAAAGATTAAACCAGGGCAAAAGGAAAAATAATAGATGGTTTACATCAAGACCCTTGAAAACGCTAACCCTTACCCTAACCCTAACCCTAACGTGTTCCGGAAGGATAAGCGTATTTTGCTTCATTGATGGCACCTGCTATGTTTTGCCCTGAAATCGATTCTTTCAATTTTGGTATTAGTAAATGTCTCATTCACATTCATTGTATTGTTATGCTAACAAAATACATAGTCAGAACGCAGAGAGTTTTAGAAACATCCCCGAAAAAGCCAAATAGGTTTATTATATATGGTCTCAAAATGTCGGTCAGTAAGTTCCAAGTAACGTCCCAACACCGAGTACTCAGGCACTCGGTGACAACAAAACCACAAGTTCACGAACAGAAAGTTGAGATCGTCCAGTTTGTCAAAGGCAAACAAACAGCAAAACAAAGTCTTCACTCATCACAAGAACACAAGTGTCACGGCCATATGATTTAAATGCTTTTGTTTGTGGCTATACAGGGCGGTTCTACTTAGACATAGGATAGAGTAGGATTTATTTTACCTATTTAGGTCACTAGGTTTTTGTTACTTATTTGTTGATCACATTGTGACGCCATACCCAGTGTGACAGGTAGCATCTGTTCGAAATTTAAATATGGCGGGCAGGTGCATGTTTTCAGTCACGTTAATAGGTCGTAGGTACGTATATGTCTATACACGTATGTACTGATACTAAAGTAATATTCTTATTTTGAATGAACTAAAGAGCAAACGAAAGAACGAACTTATTAATTAACAACTTAACTGATTTAGTAAAAAAATAATTGACAAGTGAAAGTATTAAATAATCAAGCTAAATAACTATATAAATGAAGAGGATTTTTCAGGAAATTTTAAAGACCTTAAGAATAAGATATAAAGTGCTTATTTATTCTAGTAGATTTTCATTCGCATTGAAAGTATCCTAAGAATTTGTATTGCTAACAGATCATTCAAAGTAAAAACAAATAAACAAACATCCTTTATGATTGCGTTTATTACAGTCGTATATAAGTGCATGATAATAAATTTGATTAGCGGCTATGGAAGTAAGTTAACAAGAGGTCTCAAAACTGCTTCTTGTATGTGTCACTTGATATCACGACACCTTTTATCTAAGCCTTTCGAATGCAAGGTAACGAAGTTGTGGTCAGATTACAAAGTGTAACATGGTAATTACAGGTCAGGGAACCGGAACCGGAAATGGCAACAAAACAGAGATAACACACCACGTGATGTCTACAAATTTTCCTCAGCCATATCCTCCAAACACCCACCAGCAGTGGAACTACAGTATGGACCATGGTCAGTGGACGGTCATTTTCAGAACCGTGGACATCGAACAGTCACGTCGCTGTCAAAAAGATTACCTGTATATCTATGACGGGGCAAGCTCAGAGCAGTGAGTCTTTTTTTTTATATTTACCTTCAAATTAATGAAAAAAATCGATTTTCGGTTTTACAGCGAGATCGAGGAAATTGTAAGTAAATGTTGAAAAATGCTTTGAAATTTAGAAATACAATTTTTTAGAAAAAAATAATCCTTTTCACAAAAACCTGACCGTTTTGAACACTGTTTTATCATCCTAGCAGTTATGACAATTGCCATAGTCAAAATTAAACTTATTGCTTGCCTAAGTTAGGTACTTTTAAGCGTTTTACTGCATACAGAATACACACACATAGTACAAAAAATTTCATCATAAAGTTTGCAATTTTCATTTCAAATTCGTATTGGAACACTGAATACAAACGGGATTCACTCTATATAGATTTGAAGCGTGTCATAGAAGAAAACATTGTCACTATGACCTGCATTCTACTTTGAATTTTCTGTCTAACTGTGAAGTGTGTCTTAACGATCCCTGTCTCACTTCAAAATCTAAAGAAGCAACTGTAATTTGTTCATATATACAGTATCATCCCCTCCCCCAACATATTAACAAACTAATTTTAGGTAAGTCATAAAACCAGTATCCTCAAAGTGAACATAACAATTGTATCAATGTATTATCATGACAGCGTGACGTCATCATACAATGGTGATGTCATCAACTTGTCCTTTGTCAAATATAATGATGATATCCATGAGCATGGCGTAATAATGTCAAGTAAATTCTGCTGAAAATATCGGATATAGAGTCTCACGCGTGAAAAAAGCTCAATATTGTCTTTGATTCAATATTTCACACCAAGTATATATTGATTGTTCTGGTAAAAGTCAATATCTCTCGAACATGAGTTTTGTTCTGATGGAAAAAAAAGTAACAAGGTGTTGTATCTATTAAACTTCAATACATATTCATAAACTTTGTTACAACACGAATATTACAAGAATAAAAAGGGTACGATTCTTACTATCTCTACCAAGAGCTGTCGTTCCTAGTACAATCATTCATATTTATCAAAATAGGTTCTTGGCAAAACGGAAAGTGTTTGCCTGTTTCAGTATGTTATCCGCTGTTTGTTTCATTATGATTATGAAACCAAAATTATGTCCTGTTTTGAAATACATTTCGCAAAAAGGCTTGATTTAAATGGGATAAAATACCTTTAAATTACATGTAGATATCCTCGTATCATTGCCAAACACTGTTACTGCACATTGGAAATTGATTTTCTGCTGACATTTACTATAGCTTTGATAGATTATTTCTGAAAAAACATACCTCGCGGGAGTTTTATACATATTTTTTTTTAGATGGGCTAAAACAGGATTAGAATGAGGGTAAATAAAAAAATGAAAATCAAATTACATTAATCAAAAGCTGGATAGGAACTCGAACCCTGGACTTTTCATTGTTATACTACCACTCTATCTGACCTAGTCAACGGAAGTGTCCTGACCCAACTGTACCACAGTTATATCCAAAACAAAAGTAAGGGGATATCACTCTTTATACAAAAGAAAACAGTGCAGTGGCACTGGGTTCCTCGAAAAGCGTTTCTATATAACAAACAATGGAGTAGGGTCAAGTTTCAGCTTTGCATTGAATAATCGTTAGGAATGCAGTAACGTTCGAAGGACCAGGAATGATCAAGTAAAACGCAGACAAATGTTAGCACTGCACACAAATGGGCATTTAAGGATATCAGTCCGACTGCACTGTAGTTTTTGGAGTAAACAATGAACTCCCTTCGGTTTTGTTTTGGTCTTAAATGTAGCATAGCTCAGCTAGTAGACTAACGTTGACCAGGTAGCTCAGAGCGATGGTATAGCAACGGGAGGTCTAGAGTTCAAATCCGAGTCTCTAGCCCCGCAGACGTTTTACATTCAAAACACTCTCGTTGATTATATTTTGTTTATTTCCTCTTAAACATTTTCATAAAAATTCCATTAAGGTTCTTTTCAGAAACTATGTATCAAAGTTTGAGTCATTCCAGATAAAACAGTTTTTAACAAGTAGTTGCAGCTTTTGGCAGTGGTATAGTGATCTAGAGACCAATGCTAAAATAAAAACACCACTAACATATGTATTTGTTCAGTATCTGTTTTTCAATGGGAATCTTACATCGCATATATGTGCCGGGAAAGGTTACAACTAAAGTATAAATATACATTTACTGATGTCATCGTGAAAGGTCTGACAGGGGCTCGGTTATCTCTGAATCTATTTCCTTTTGAACATCTGTTCAGTTACCGCTGTATGATAATGCTTTAAAGTATGACTAATTGCCGAACTGCAAGGTTGTAAACACGGACGTGGTGAAGTTGTTTCCGTCGGGGGTTTAACCGAATTGATTGTTACTCCTCCCTCCCATAGATACGTGACAGCCTGTGTAGTGAATCATCAAATTACTTTGTTAGTGACAGAGATAGGGAGCACTAGTTGTTCTATAGAAGACCGACATATGATGTGTTTTCCGCGAGAGGAAGTATGTCAGCGCGGGGATGTTACTGAATCAGATCCCGGAAAAGTAAACACTTTCAGTCACTGGTACATCATTACCAATCCAGTGATATTTGTAGTTTATGCAGAAATTATTAAATAGCTGTGCACTATAAAACTGTTTTGATATATAAATGGGTAACGCCACAGCGATGAATCTCTACACTTCTGTCATTTAATAGTAACTAAAATTTCCCGTTATTGTTACCCATAAACACCGGAGAGATAGACTTCCTTGTTAATTTAAGAGAGGAAAAAAAACAGCTCGTAAGACACTGGTGCGATAGCGTTATGTCTTAATTCCCAAGGGTACTTAACACAATGTCAAATTATTGCAACCTGCAACACACTTGAGCAATAATATTTTACTTTAATTTCCGAGGTGACTTATCGAAATTTCACATCATTGTCACTTGAAATACACTTGACTTGAATGATAACGCTTTAATTTTGCAAACTGTTGAGCGATAGACTTTCACCTATGTCAGACACTTAAGCGATATCATTTTGTCTGCATTTTAGAGGAAAATGTCTTTGTAAATGGGAGTCGTCTATGAATGTACATTCACAAAAAAACATACAATGATAGAATAAAAAATGGAAAGAGTTACAGCATAACCATGTTTTCAACATGATATAAAAATAAACCTAGTGATATAATAGCTCATCTAGTTACATGAACACACGATATCTTGTTACTGTGTGATATATGAACCTAACTGTAATGTCGGCATTTTTTTTGTTTTATGGCAGTTTAATACTCTTTTTTGATCAAGAGAACTTCAATAGTTTACATAGATCAAAGGTTATTATGATAAGATAAAAAATAAGCAAATACACAGAACTTAGTTTCGGGGTTTCTTTTATTAAGATATATATATATATATTTCTTATTTAGTTTTCTATATTTATTATAATGGTTTATGATGTATACACGTTTACAATAGACTTCAGCCAACATTGGAGCGTGTGCGTATTGTACCCGACACGTTACAATGTTTTCGTATTTTCCTGGTTAGAATATATAACTCTGCTAAATCAAGCTGTGAATTAGACTTAGACAGTTGGTTGTGCTATTTGGTCATAATCGATTCAACTGTATTAAATGATGAGGTTAAGGCAAACAAAATGTCATATTTCATCTCGCATTGAAAATTAAAGGTCACAAAATCTATTCGTTAAGGATTTTGCGACGGTTTTGTAGGAAGTTTGTTAATAGAAATAATTTTCTGTGGATTACAGCCTGCAATTATTTATTTATTGAAGACTTACTTTAAATCTGCTTCTAATTTGCTGTTCCTGTTAAAGATTGAATCTTATTGGAGGTTATTTTGAAAGCTTGATTCTGATTGGAGGTTTATTTGAAAGGTTGATTCTGATTGGTTGATTCTTATTGGAGGTTTCTTTTAAAGTTTTATTCTTATAGGAGGTGTCTTTGAAGGGTTGATTCTGAATTGAAGTTTTCTGTGGAAGGTAGTTTCTGATTAAAAGGTTCTGATGATTTTGTCTAAAATAAAACGTTTAGTGGAAAGTTTAGTTAATAAATGGCTGAGAATTTCCCTGACTGCTGGTTCGTGTATTTGTAATTTGCTGTTCTATTAGCTGGCTTCTGGCTGATTATATCTGATGACCGTCTGATTCGTGATCGGAATACCACACCTATAAATCGCCCTAGCTTTCAATATGTTAACGAAGCATAACAAGCAATTGCATTTCATGTTACACAAATATTGCAAATACAGTTATATATTTTGATGTTGTAGCCCCGAGAAAAGATTATGTGACAAGCTTGAAAATATGGCCGACTTCCGAACGACTCACTCCTCGATTCGGATTGTCTTTCACTCAGACGATACTGGCCAGGCGCAGGGATTCGACTTGAACGTGGTCCACATTCCAAATGAAGGTACTAAATTCTAGCTGGTTAAATTATCTTCTCGGGCAACACTTAGATATTTCCTAACTGTCGTACGTTATAACTGACAGAAAAAGTATTTATTGGTCTGAAGATTTCTGAAATATTTCGATATTTTCTTGCTAATTTGTCCTGTGCAATTAATCTTTTATGAACCAAATCAGATTAGTGTAATGCTATAAACTATGACGTATTCTACTGTTAAGTAGTTGTCACATTGGCCGAGTTTGAAGGGGTCGTGGCCGAGAGGGCAAAACACATTCACGAAAATCCAAATAAATATGATTCAGTCTGGCAACCATCTTTGGGTATTATTGCTTAAATTCGCACGTACCTTTGTAAATCTTTCTTAGTAAATATCATACATACTTGATACATGATACTTTGGTGGGCTCCTATAACCTTATATTCAGCCATCCCGACTGACAGAATACGGGAGGGATTATGTTAAATCTTGACATGCCTGTAAGAATGGAGGAAACGAATCGAAAACGCAAAAACAGCGGTGGTCAAACTCTGGACTTTTGCATTACAATGCATGCGATTTATCAATTTTGTAGAGTAACAAAATATGCGTTTAATTCATGGCCTGTACAGCATATGAAAAAATTGACAGATTAAACTCAAAAAGAAGCTCTTTTGGGTTACTCCATGTGCTATTTTGAAGGAGAATACTCCAAGTCAAAAATTCTCCGAGTGGAACTCTTCTAAATGATTAAAATGCAGTGGTACCCTCTACCTTAAACAAATAATTCATTTAGCCTGTTTCTATTTGTAGATTACTACAATGAACTATTGCTGAAAAGACATGCCCAAGGTAAGAATATTTACTCTTTTCAAGGGTTACAGAAGGAAATTTATTTCATTTTTGCCAATGAAATATTAGATTCTATCATTTAGATGAAACTGATATATTTCACACTGTGACAGAACCATTTCAAAAGTTATATTTTCACAGTGTAACAAAAAAACGTTTTGGTATTGATCAATCATAACGGTATCTTCTATTCGGTGCATTCAAAGGCAACGGTTTTTTGTTCAGATTCAAATAAAGCGACGGTAGAATAAGTTGTTGTTATGGTAAATGTTTGGTACAAACACTTAAATATTTACATGAATATACAATTAATAACATTTGTATAAGCAATCATACCAGAAAATAGCAGAAGGCGTCGGAATTGCGTTGGGTATCCCATTCTAAATGGCGCACAGCCTTGTTGTCAACCGTGACGTCATTATGATATGACGTTGATTATTAAGCTTCTGATTCCCGCTCTATTTTAAAGCATTCCACTTTTCATGTTTTATACTTAAAAAATGTAATGAATAGAAAATGTAATGGTGTCTTCAGTAATAACAAATATATTTCACGAGTGTGGCTAATATTTTGATATTGCGCACTCGTGAAAAATATCAAAATATTAGCCACACTCGTGAAATATATTTGTTATTAATGAAGATACCATTAAATATCTTCTATTTATTACAATGTGTATGTGTGTTTGAGTAGACGTCATCAAAATTACAGTTTTCTTATAGCAAAAAATACCTTCATAACATTTGCTGACCAAACAATGTTTTTCCCCCATAATAAAAACGTACAAAACTAATAATATCTCTTTTAATCATTTTTATCAAAATCAAAGACGATTCGATGTAAAATATAACTGTAATTGGAATTAAGGGTATACTTCTTAAATGCTTTTTTTTATAAAAATATTCACATGAAGTCAAGTTTATTAAGTCAAGTTTATTAAACAACGGGAGTGATTTTTAAATTAAAATTTAAATATAATATGATATGGACATAGAGGCAAGTAATTATTTATCCTATTAAATCCTATTAATATTTATGAATAAAAAGATGCAACAAAAATAGGTAACTGCACATTCCCAGCGTTGTCAAATTTTATTTGTGAAAATATATTATATATTTTTTGTTTGTCTTAACATGACAATAGAACTTAAATAAACTTGTAAATATTTTTTTATTTCTAGCTGCAAAGATGAGTGTTGTTCAAGTGGTGGACTCATCAAATTCGTCTGATTTGTTGATTCCCCTGACCGTTACTTTGGTGATATTGTTCTCAGTCCTCATCTCCTTGACTGTCTACCTCCTTGTTTGCCTTAGACGGAAGAAAAGCCATGCAAACGACACAATTCTGGCAATCCAGCCTCACCGACCGTCGACGCCCTCGAATATCACTTCCGGTCGACGATATACGCGCCAACTTAGCGTCGACAGTGACAACCTGTCCCATCTCTTACCGTCCAACAAACCGGAAGCTCATTCGCAAAAACAGCCAGATTCTCCAGGTTACAACAGTTACATCTGAACATTCAATCGACTATCTTTAATGTGACTAAATGAAGACTCTCCATTTTCACATTGAAATCAAATCTTGACAAAACAAGTACTGAACCAAAACCGAAACTTACGGCTAGGAAACAAAACTAAGGTGATAAGATGTAATACCAAAATACCCGTTTCATCCATGTAGATTTCAGTAGTCTGTAAAAACGTGTGTTTTGGTATAGGAAAGCTATATGAATTTTTATGTACAACGTTTTTTTTCGTTACATCAGATTAGCTAGTAACGTTTACGAGCTCCTCTTGTGTGCTACTAATACCGCATCGCCTACAAATACAGCTTTGTAAAAATTGCCTTGTAAGATTTAAGTTGCATATACATTTGGAAACTGTGTAGTTCTCATTGTTACTGTATGTCAATCTGTAGTTACAGAAATTGTCACGACACGTTAACCTGCAAGAGTTATTGTATGTAAAATCAACGTAATACATTTCTTAAACTGTAAATTGTTACTTTATGGAAACCGGAAGTTTCATTAATAGGTTAACTAGAAAGTGTTCCGATGCGTAACGTGGACATTACAACAGTATATGAAGTTATAAACCGAAATTTTTTCCCCCGCACAAACCGGAAAATGTAACTCTATGTAATCTTTAAGATGCTGCTGTATAAAAATGTATACTAGTACATGGATAAAAAAAATATTTTCAACAAATGTTGTTATTTATATATTGAACGAAACTTGTGTTAACTGGAGAATGCAACTGTTTGTATATAACACAAAATTATTTACAATTTTTATTTTCATAGACCTTTTTCGTACATATACAGCTGAACCCGAACAAGAGACCATCCCTGTTAAGCATCCTTCTCTCTAAATAGTCCACCATTTTGAAATCCACAAAGATCGATTAATTTCATATTCATATGAAGAAGTCATGCCTGTTTAGAGAACACTTTAAAACCTCCAATTGGTGTTTTATTGAAACAGACTTTATATGTACTAGACATTTTGTCATTAAGCATACAACCTGTTGTAAATATAATATTCAAACATAGAAAATATACGGAATCTTTCATATAAAACATTTGTTGTAGCATATTTCACCCACAGAATTAGATATGGTTGACATTCTTTTCTTTTCCTTTTTGTTTAAGAAGCGGGGGCGGGACTGGTAAGGATGGGTTAGGTGTGTTACATTTATGTACTTGATACTTATGTTTGACCTATCAGAGCTAATGTTACATGTACACTAAATGACCGGCACATATTTTTAAATCCGTCAAATAATTGAACTGATGCCTATTATATAAAACTTAAATAGTAATCGGTTTAATTTGAAATGATCGTGGTCAAGCCTTAATCGTATCTCAAAACCATAGGCCAGTCAGAAAAATAATACAAAACGCACACAGTTTCATATTTGAATATCAAGTTGTATGTTTCCTTATACATTACTGTTGAGATTTGCATTTAAGATATTATACACATTTTTAACTGACATGATTATAGTGCATGTAATGTTTAACTTTATTAAATATTTTAATTATGTTCCATGATTTAGTTGAGTATAATCCTTTATTACTTTTTTATATTTGATTAAATTTCTTTCTGCGGAACTGTTTTGGAGAGTTGATAGATGTAAATATAAGGAAGTGTGTATCCTTAAGTTTGATGTTTCATGCATTCAATTTGACGTCATGATGAGACATAATCTTGCTGTAACACTTTTTGTGAATATATAACTTTGTTTGTTTGTTGTATTATGTTTTTGTTATAATAAACATGTACTAATGTTTAAAAGTTTCAAATTGTGAAAAATGCAGAGTCAAACCTACTCGTGCGAGCACCTGTATTAAGAGACCACCTGTATTAAGAGACAACCTATATTAAGAGACCACCTTTATTAAGAGACACCTCTATTAAGAGACCACCTGTATTAAGAGACCACCTGTATTAAGAGACCACCTGTATTAAGAGACCACCTGTATCAAGAGACCATGTTTAAAATCCCCCTGTAATGATTTCATTGTGACTTGTTCTGAGGGGTCCTTATGGTGGTCTCCTAATACAGACTGGACGGGACTTTGCGAACTTGATTGTAAATATGCTTCTTTGATCTTTTGTTAAGAACCACCTGCTAGCTTCTGAAATAGTGTTTGTTAAATTGTTGGCAGTCAGTGGTGTACTGATTGAAGTGCTTAACATACCGGTCGATTGCCTGTTTTGATAAAGATGTTTTGGAGCTGTTCATTGATAGGTCTTCGTATGCAAAACATGCTTTGCGATACATTTCAGAAATGTAAGGTGGTAATATTTTGTTTAATAAAAGAAATCAACAGTGATTTACATTTCGTCTATGACTTTTGTATTCATAATTTCTTTTAGATCATGTGCACTTAATTAAACAACAATACGATATACCTGTCTAAACCGACCATCTGTGATCAAGATATCTGTTTAGAAAATGCAGGTTCTTTTGCACATCCAGGCTTATGTCGCACAAAAATTCAAATGTTTTTGTTTCGAAGTATTGTTCCAAAATAAGCTATAATCAAATATGCATTGTTTCAATAATCAGTAACAAAACCATCTGGTTAAACGCAATTAATATAAACAAGATATAATATCAGAACAATAAAGAACGTTTCCAAAATATACTAAGGATTCTTTTTGTACAAGTAGGGCCTAAAAGGCTGCAAATTACACCGCAATTCTGTATTCTCTAAAAATCAACAACAGGATATTTGAGTGTGTCCAAAGAAATCTAAGCAAAATATGAACGAAGGTAAAATTTATATGAAAGAGCACAAGAAGAGTAGATAGAGTTGTTCTTTGAGGTAAAGTTACTGCTTCATTGATGAGATTGGTCACGTATATATAAATCAAATCCAAGTAAATTCACGCCCTCAAAGTGAAAAAGGGGTAGTGACAGTGAAAACTGATCATACAAAAAAATCTTAATAAAAAACATCGACCTTCATATCGCCAAGATTTTTTTTCCAATGCGATCATGATAGTCACCATAAAAAATGTCCTAAGTCTTCATCAACAGACATGGCCTTAATTTGTGTAATGTTCGTTTATCCGTTAGCAGTCGACAGCTATCAAAGAAGCTTTTAATATTCGAAGCAAGTCTCTGAATACTGAAGCGAGTTCAGCATGTGAATTGCGTAAGTAAGGAATCGTAAATGTAACTACCAATAAAGGGGAAAAAAGTTCGTGATAGGAAAATAGAAATAGTCAATCGTGTCGTACAGTTTAGTAGTAAGCCTTCCCTGATGGTCGAATTGAAAGTAAAGACTGAAGTAAGTGGTTGATTTTCAACTACGATCAACATAGCCAATACATTTCTTGGTATTGAAATACAACACAACGTCGATAAAGTTGAAATGAAAGTGAAATTGAAAATATTTTCTACGAGACTTGATAAGGTCTTTACTGAATACTATCTCGTAAGAAAACAAAACAACATTTTGTCATGAGAGGGACATGTTTTTTTCACTGTGAATGACAACAGTCTGCTTGAAAATAGTGCCACCGAATTCAAAAAAGATCTGGGGAATGTTCATGGTTTTCACAAAAACATCCCCAAATTCATATAATGTTTTAGCCGTTCACCTTTCTATAGGACAAAAAAAAGGAAGCAAAAAAGCTCGTACGTATGAAAGATGAACAAATCTTCCAATGCGTGATTGAACGATATCAATTTATTTAACAATCCAAAAAGAAATATAGCTGTAACAGTCATTTTTATTATGAAATGGGGTTTCTCTTACTTTACAGGGACTTGTGATTTGAATGATGTTTCCATATAAAAAAAAATAATTTTTTTTTTAAATATTTGTATTTTCTTACTAAATGATAGATAACCTATAAAGGCTAGGTTTGTTATTGGCACAAACAGGAACTGAAAACTTCTTTTGCGAGCTTTCGAAAACGTCTGGTTCGTTTGTCACTCACAGAGTGTAAATGACCGCTGAGTATTTGACAAAATCCTTATCTAATATTATGATATACACGTGTTGCAATTTGATCAATGTTTACTGATCTTTTCTGGGTGTAAAAATTATACACCATTCCGAGCAACAATTATCGAAATATGCACATGTTGATATTTTCTTTAGTATTATCAAGTTAATCTTAAAATAAGTCTTTATATAGCTTTTTTACAAGTAACACTAGTCATTCCATGAATATTTCATCTTCATTAAGCTTCTGTTTTTAACTGGTTCAGCGAACCTAGCATGTTCTAAAATAAAGACCCATTATCCGTCAAACATGTCTTATAAATATCAAAGTTTCATGTTCTACACAAACAATGTACGTATTAAACATGTCGCAACGTTTCGACACGTTCAATACGTACATTGTTTGTGTAGAAAGTAAAAATTTAAAAATTCACATGTTTCCAAACTGATGAATCTTATTGAAGATGTCTAATAAATATTCAAAATATAGAAAAAGTTAGCATATTGCGTATTTCCTATGTGTATATGTTCTTCTCGCCATGCCCAAATACACATGCCCTATAAGTGTTCGTGATAATCGTCAATAGGCTTTGTGTGGCTACTGTAAGGAAGATGGTCAACGCAGGAAAGGGAAGCGAATTATGTCGCCACATCAAGAAGGAAGTTTATAAACAAGGTAAGGCATTTCTTCAAGATGTTTTTTTTTAAAACATCCTGGTTAATAGTATGACGCATTTGGTGTTGTCACTAACGTCATTGATAAGTGCTTTCAATTGTTTAATGAGCCCTGTACACTTCCAAAAACTGCCATTTTGCATTATAAAATTCTCCCAAGCATGGCTATACTTTTAATAAAGCGTTTCGGAAAAGGAAACCACACCTTACAGAACGGTTATAAAAACAAAATAAATCGAAATGATGGAATCAAAGACGAAACTACATGTACTAGTGTACTAAGTGTAAAAGTGAAATAAGGCCAGGCAAGGATTTGAATCCTTGCCTCAGATCATCATACCGTCGCGTTGACCACGTGATCTACTTTGTCAACGGAAATACCCAGGCCCAGTTGCACTACAATTATGATAAATTATAAAAATAAGGATTCATTACTGTGTGTTCGGAACAAAAACCCAGTGGAATTATTTAGTCTTTTGCATGCATTGGTAAAAGAATCTTATGAAAGATGATAATAAAATGAAAAGAAATCAGCTGAGGACATTGGAGCGAAAACAATGTTTCCTGGAAGCGTCCTGAAGCTAACACTAATTCTGTGTAATAACATTGTCATTCGGACAAATGTATGATCGTGTAAAAGGGAAGTTAAACACAGAGGTTAATTCTAAGGTTTATCAGTGGATGTATCAGAATTGATCATGAAACAAAATGGAAAGGAAACAGCATTTATTAAAACGAATTTTTGTGAATATTAGTTATATTATGTTTAAATTATGAGTTTCTATTCAGTAATTTAATTTATTGTTTGAGCATTTAGATGTTTATGTTCCTTTTTTCTTCGTTTTGTTTATAAATAACTTAAAATATAGTAATGGTACATCTATACGCAATATTAATATCAAAACATGTGCAAGTTCTGTCATGTTATTAGAAACCTGATATTCAAATGAGATATTAAGAGCATTTTGCCTTGCTTATGTGTCTTTAACATTGGTCAACAAAACGGTAATAGAAATTGAAGAGTTGCTGTGGTAATACGCAACCCATGCTTGGCTTGTTGCAACCACAGGTTCTGAGGTTAGTTACCAAAACATTAATTTTCAGTAACAGCGGCCGTAACCTTTCACGAACCACGCCAAAACATGGTAGGCTTTTTTTTCTTCCCTTGTGCATAACATATATAACAGTGACTTAGACTTTTAATATAATATATAATATAATAGTACTGGACGCAGGCATATGCCTATATATCCAGATCAGGTGTATCGTCAGACTCTAGTCTGACACCCCGACAGTTAATAAGTTCATTATTATCAATTTCATGGTTATAATAGCATTCTGGTTTTCCCCAGTGCTTATCCAGTCGGGCTTCAAACGTTTTTAGTGTTGGTGATGTGACGACGTGGTTTGGCAGTGAGTTCCAATGGTTGACTACTCTTTCTTTAAAGGCATACTTTCTTCAGTTTAATTTACACACTCCTTTTCCAAGTGGAAGGCTATGACTTCTTGTTCGTTTGTTATCGTTTATATTTAAAAACCCTTCCGTTACAGAAGTGTCATAGCATCCGTGTGACAGTTTGTAAACTTGTACCTTATCCCCTCGTAATCTTCTGTGTTTTAACGTTGGTAATTCTAGTACCTTTAATTTGATAACTTAGTTCTTTCATTCCTGGTATCTGTTTTGTTGCTCTCCTCTGCACATTTTCAATTTCGTTAATGTCCTTTTAAAGGTATGGATTCCAAATGCAAGCTCCGTATTCCAGATGTGGTCTTACGAACGCTTTATACAAGAGACAACAAGTTGTTCCATCTAAATATGTATATGTTCTTCTTATTGTCCCCATTATCCTATTTGCCTTGTTGACCGATTCATGTATATGATCAGTGAATTTAAGTTTGTTGTCTGTAATTACTCCGAGATTCTTTTCTTTGTTAATGTTTTCTAGTATGACTTTGATTCTCCCTTCATCGGTGTCTTTATATAAGTATAGCGGCGCGGTATTGATATTTTTTCCTAGGGTAAGTACTTTGCATTTGTCCGGATGGAATCTCAGTAGTCATGTATCTGACCATTTTTGGAGCTGGTCCAGGTCTTCCTGTAGGTTGATATTTTCGCTGTGATTAGACATTTTAGTGTCATCCGCGAATAAAAATGTTGATGGACCTCGCTTAAAATCAGAAGGGCTCTTCCTCCTCCCAGGTCAACCCATATAATATTTTAGCATTGTGAAACAAACCGTTTCGAGTTATATGTAGTTTCCGGATAAGGACCTACAACTTGTAATAATTGACCTTGACGCTTAGCAACAAGTACCCATTCTGATAGGCGGCCGTGCCCTTCCCGCTCGAGAAAACAACATACCAAGTCTGAGATAAGTGTTATAATACGTTTAGTAATTAGATACAGGAATTCCTGTTTACAGTAAAAGACCTCAACCTCGACCTATGGCGAACCACACTCAAAATTACTAGGTTTCTTTCTCTTTCCTAGGGTAGCCAGCATACTTGTACTAAATCAGAACTCTGAAATGAGGACCATGACAAAGGTTTAATAATGGCTACCTGGACCATTTGACGAACAACGCCCAAATCAATAAGGTTCCTACTCTTTTTTTTAAGGGCAACACATTCAAAGCTTTTGCCTTGTGTAATCATCGATTTCGAAGTTTCAAAATACTGTATACAGGAAAAAAATTCGCTGCAGTTAATTTTCGCACCTCCCCCGTAAAGAGGATGGATTATCATCACATCGCATATAAGTAAACAACATTATATAGATAGTTTAAATGTGAAGGGCGAAATTAACACTGGACAAAAATTGATCTAATGGGCACAGGGGAAAGTTTGACTGCGATTTTTTCCCGGTATACAGTAGGTATTTCGTTCAGGTATATAAACTCTACTGACCTTGTCATTTGATTGCTTTGCCCTAAAAACGATAGGATTCGTTTTTTCCTAGGGCAACCCATCTACCAAGTTTGAGATTTATAGAATCTATCACCCTTATGTGATGTACTATTAATTATTACCAGAGAAAATAATGTTACTTTATTCTAAGTATAATCATACAACACAAAATTTGTTTCAACTTGTTTTTATTTTTACATACATGTACAATAAAGAATTCAAAATTCCATCTTTCAAAACACTCTCATCAACCTTTCTCTCTCACATTCTTTTCAAAACATACAAAGTATAATCTTGCACCTGTCTCACGTATCATATATAGGTAGTGTTGGCGAGTAAAATACAAACAAAAGTCTGAACAAGTTCATATTACAAACATATAGGCTTACATATATCATTATTATTTAGTATATTAAACGGATTGAAGACAATATTGCAGGATTGTTTAACTGTTTTATAAAATGATAACTTTTCTTAATATTCCTGTTACAAAATAATTGAAGTTGAATAGTTAGAATTATTGACGAATAATTAGAATTATGTGTAATAAACGCGAACTCGTAAAAACGGTGTTTTTTCCATCTAAAAGTAAGTCGAATTATATATCTTCCTACAAAACATTAGTTATTAATAATGTAAAGGTCGAGATTTCTCGGATCCTGATATTGGTGTATTTTTCCTCGGTTATTATAACTGTATCAGGTTCACAAACATTTTATCAACCTCATGTACGGTCCATAATTGAAAGATGGGCGGCACCTTATTTACTTTTTTCAAGTGTTAACGGTATAATTTTGAAACAAAGAAAAAACACCACTGACAACTTTACCAAAAAATGAAAACTTAAATTGAAATATAGCAAATTTTGTGAGAATTTGTTGTGTATTTCTTTGAAGAAATCCAGACAAGATGTGAATAGACTTCCATAGGATTCAAGGCAAAACTGCTCCAATACAGGAATGCGATAAAGTGTTTGGATACTAGACAGCCAGCAGAGGTAGAGTTTAACTGGAGGACGGTGGAGCGATGGAGGCGCCAGACAACTCCATCCGACGAATCTCGTTGGTGATGATTGTAAGATCTTGTATGAACATTCGGATCTGAAAAATAATTTACATTCAAAAGATATGTCCTGGTCATCTTTATTTTATAAAAGAATCCATCCTCATTATTTTTTTATTTCCAGTACAGCTGTCAGAAAGTCTAAAGAGAACAGGGTTCTTGACGTGTTGCTGATAACAACTACATGCAGAATTAAGGTGATTTGTCCATGTAGGTAAAACATATTTGTGTCAAATCATTTCTGGAATGTTTCATCAGAGCTTTATATATTCTGCTTTATATTCAGCAGGTTTTTTTTAATTTCCTGTCATGAACGTATCACCTTAATTATTGCAGAATGAAATGCATGCAGACTCGGTTAAAGATTTTAAAAAGCCAAGAAACAAGAGAGGTCATAGAATCTAGAAGAAGTTAAGAGGGTTTCATAAAGCGGCAGAGCACGACATGCTTGAGGTGACATATTGAAGTGAGTATCTATTTATGAAGAAAGAAAGCTGGAGGCCAAAGTGTCCGATCTTTTCAGCTCCTTGCAAATGTCTGTGAGATCTTCTAGGAACATTTGAATCTGGAAAAAAGAAGATAAGAAAACTAGTTTAATTATTGGTTCGATAAGTATATTTACATATATATATCATGCAGAAAATACAAATGAACACTAAATGAAAGGCAGTATTTTATTATAATGTTACGGCTTAAGTGTATAATTGTATTACATTGGTTTTCCATATCAGTGTATTTGTATCAAGCTCACAATGTGTGGGTGTTTATTTTGGAAAAGGATGTCATTCCACTAATAAATAACAAACTCACTATGAAAGTAACTTGCGATTAAATATGAATAGTCCATATTAGCATTATTTCCACATAAAAATATTCAACTAATGAATACTACCATATAAAGAGATGAAAAAGGAAGCGTAAATGAAGTACATAAAAACAAATTTAAAGGAAAAAAATTGCGAAATGAAAATCTCGAGAATATTTGTCAACTTTAATAAGTGTTCTGCCACCGAACTTAACCTTATATGTGACATAAAATATCTTATACACTAAACATGTTTCAGAATCATGTCATCATGTATAAATAATAAAACGAAATATAATCCACTTAACTTTTAGTGTACTTGTGAAGTACATGATGGTACAAAGATTAACCTGTCATATTTCATACGTAACTCAATACAATATAAATAGATTTCGATAGACTGGGTCATCATGTGTATACAAATACTTGTAGCAATACTTGGAAAGAGTTCATAAATAAACAAATTGAAGTGGATATTAAAAGTGGGTTCAAGTTCTTCCCGTACGATAGTGCTGGTGACCTGATCAAGATTGACCTATTTTGTGAATACTTGATATTCTACAGGGGTCGACACTTACACTAGTCTGCTAGTCCTGGACTAGTAGATTTCAGCAATGACTAGTGAATCAGCTAACCTAACTGGTCCTTTGGACTTGTGAAAAATATGATTATAAAAAAAAAAAAAAATCAAAAATATTTGGTGTCTATCCCTGTAATCTACTAGGCTGACGTTAAGTGTAGTCTTTGCCCTATTTTAGTAAGGCTGAAACGATGTTTCGAATCTATCGTTTTATGATAAGTGTTTGTGTACCGTATCAAATGTGTTTTGTTTGCCTGTATCGCAATGCACTAACAGTACGTCAATCATCAATCAGTTGTATTTACCTCCAACATTTTTTTTCTTAATGTTTAGGAATACTGAAGTAAATATGTGACCCACTGTGCAGTTATACCCAAAAGTACCAAAACAATCATACCAAAGTATACTTTAATAGTATTTAAGACTATGACAAAACTAAAACCCAGCACTCATTCATTATGAAGTTGATTTTAAGCAGATATATGTTGTTTTATATTCATCGTATCGAAAGAATCGTTACACGATATACATATCGTGTCGTGAGATATGCGTATGGTTTCAGCTTTGCTCATCAAGATAAGATTTAATTTGTTGTCCGTAAACAACTTCCAAATTTAGCCTAGATCAGGTAAACTTTTACAAAAGCAACTTCCATTCCATTATGGCGATTAGTTTTAAAAATGTAGACAGACATTTTAATTTATCAAGTTGTAGGTAACTTTCGGGCATTGTTCCAAGATCACTATATTGAATTGTTTAAATACAAGATAAAAAAGCTATTATTTTTTTTAATCTGATAATGCATCGTACTATATGGAGTTAACAATAGCACTTAACCAAAAGGTCATGCACAGTATTGCATACAGCATATGTCATAGATTGAAAAAATCTCAGTAGTATAAATTACTTATAATTTCATTTCAAAATATTTTATTAAATCAATCCGATTTAATGGGAATTAGGCAACAGGCAAAGCCTATACAATCCCTCTCCCAAGTTAAATTACTTATAATATAATAATATAATCATTATTTTTTGTATTCTTTTAATGACTTTTTTCATAGAGGGGTGGGAAGCAGATTGCAAAAGGATATATGAGATTTGTTTATGCTTTTTTAAACAAGACATAAGTTTCACACAGAGAAGTTGGGAAATGCTATATGAGTATTTCTTCTTTGATAATAATAAATGAGGTGAATAAGCTTATGTATTTTTGAACACATAAATGTTGTATTCTCACCTGCTTTGTTTGGAAGATTCATCGTAGAAATCGTAGGCAAAGTTGATGTGTATTAATTTTTCTAACTATGTTAATGAGAAATATGAACTACCACTACATGGTTATAGGATTTCACGCAGGCATGCAAGTGCTGTTTAGTGCAAAGGTTCATAGAATAGGACAATACTTCAAAAAATATTGTAACCTTGATATTATTCTCTGTATTTCTTATTTATCTCTCAAGAAGAGAATATGTACCAGATAAATTGAGTTTTATGTGTTTTTTTAGGTTACATTGTATATTGCTGAATAAATTTTGGTCAAACACTGTATATGTTGATAATAAGGGATTAGACAGTTATACTTGAACACGTAACCAGTCTAAAATGTTTATGATACAATGTATATACCTGTCTGGTACTACATTACACTATAGAATCTGATACGGTTCGTACTCAGCTCATTCATAGAGGAAGCCATCCATATGTATCCCGTTGCTAACAGCGAAACATGATATTGGTCATTTTAATCTACAGGATTTTTTATTTATTTCAAATAGTTCAAAATTGTCATTTGATGTTGAGGCTGGAAGCTGGAAATTAATATTGTTACAAAGTGGACCTTTGTTGACATTATCTCGCCCATGACCATCAAATAACTTAATTTGATTTACAATAAAAACTATCAAAAATTATATTTTACAATTAAAGTAGCACAAGAAAGTTAAACCAATTAATTTGTTTTAGTTAATTTGAGAAAGCATTCTTTTCAAATGAAATTATTGATTGCTGTTATTTTTTTCGAGTAATGTTATAACCATTCTTATGTTTTGTCTAAATTGAATTATAGAAAGACATGTAAGCGAATAATTAATTTTTAATCAAATTAACATCTGATTTGAGATATTCTTTGAAAAAAATATTTGTTTCCCATCTTTATTTTTATTTTTCAAATAATATTTGCATCTTATCTTTTTCATCGCCACCAACATAATTAAAATATGAAAAAATGTAAACTGTCGACTTTTCATATACTTAATTCGAAACAATTTTTTTCCAAATATGTAACTATCTTTTACAAATTATTTGTTTACTTATATTGTGTTGGTGATAGTTAAATTATAATGAAAATTTATCATGTGTTAAAAAATTCAAGTCTTATTTCTTAACTACGTGTATACATTTACAAACACATAAGATGTGAGTTAGACACAAAAAAACGTATTTAGTGGATGTGCAGATGTGTCAGATAAGGGACATGTTAGAGAAAATCAACCTGTTCAGGATTATATTTAATAATGAATCTTAACAATATTTAATAATCGATTCGGACTTTGCTAACTGAATTTTATATAAAATGTATCCTGGCAAGATTGTGTACTCTAAAACATAATCACATCTTATCTCATTTTTTTCCCTTAGTTTTAAATAAGATTAAAACCAAAAATATAACTCCTTCCCGAATGTTTTATATTCTTTTTAACAAACATTAAACAATAATATATGCAATATTTATAAATAATTGTTTTAAATCGATTTCTTAATAATAAGTTGAGCACTAGTTTATGATATAAGATCGGATGAGAAAACATGTTTATTTCATCTACGTTGCAAGCATGCAAAATATTATAAAACAAAAAGCTAAATAACTGATAAAGCAAAATGAAAAAATGTCATGCAGCAAGCAAAAGGTAAGTGTAGCAAGCTCTAGAAGCACAGGCAATAGCAGAGTGAGCTAGTTAGCAGAATCGTGTGAACAGTGATCCAGGCACACTGAGATGAAGACGAAAAGTTTATCCCACTTAATATGGTATCTCAATTTTAAAGTGTGATAACAAAATGTCAGCCATTTTTCACAATTCTAACTTCATTTTTTGTTCTCTGCAAAGCGTTCCATGAAAAACTTTAATCTAAATCAAATCTATCAGTATTTTTATAATTTCATCAACTTTTCAGAAAAACATTTTCCATTTGTTAAATTAGCATATTTTTACGAGTCATAGATGATGAAAATTATACATTCTCCGAAAATATTTATTTCCGGCTGATAGGAAATGACTCAATCGGATTTGAAACAGGGAAGCAATGTTAACAGATAAATGTGTATGAATTTTATATTCTAGATATATTTGAATTCGTAACAACTCTATATGCGATGTTATGTGAATTCATATATATATTACGAATTTTCATTAAATTACACTTACACAGAATTCCTGGGTTTTTTTTTTAAATTAACTTGCGTTTTAAGCAATGATTCAGTCGCCATGTTAAAACGAGGTAAGACTTGTGAAAATTGACAAATATTTTGTTTGTATTCTCAAAAAACTGAAAAACCAAATTAAAAGGGAAAGACTGCAGAAACATGATGCAAGTTCAAGGTCAGGACAGAATCTTGAAAAAAGAGCTTGAGCTCTACTTGTGATCGAAATGAAAAATCAGAAAATGAAAGCATGTGTGACGAGAATAACAAAGGAACTATGATCACTACACAAAGATCCAGCAACTATAAGTAAAGTACATAATGAAAACAGGCGAGAAAGATTTGAATTATTCAGAGAATTGTGAAACAAGATGTGGAGTAAATGAATGATCTACTACATAGAAATCGGGTGACAAAATGCAGAGGTCTGGTCGAAATAGGGGCTTTGGGTACGGTATAGTAGATCTAGAGAACATTGAATGAAGGGTAAAGGGTTTGGAGAGAAGGAAATATAACAATTTATAAGTCCTTATATAACCAGGTATTGTGTTTGGTTTTTATGTCCTAGATATTAAGAGCTATGGTCACTTAAGGACGTGCCAGGTTTTGTTGGTGGTGGTGGAAGAAAGCCGGAGTTCTCAGAGAAAAAGCATCGACCTAGGGCCAGTACCTGGCAACTGCCCAACAAAGGCCTCAAACCCGCGACCCAGTGGTGGAGGGCTAGTGGTAGCAGAATGTCAGACAGATTTATAACAGAAAGTTTAAAAGTCTTGTACAAAAGGGTTTGAATCCAGGTATATACACATTTTTGCGGGGTTTTTTCTTCTGTTTTAGTCTCGCAAAGTAGGGTTTCCCTTTCAGAAATGATTATTTTAAATCATGGTGGATGAAAATACTTTCCAATGCACAGCTATAGTTTTTGGCAGTCGTACGGGGATCCTTAAGGTTTTTTTTAGTGATACAGGGATCCTTAAGTTTTTGGCAGTTGTACAGGAATCCTTAAGATTTTGGCAGTTGTACAGGGATCATTAAGGTTTTTTTTAGTGATACAGGGATCCTTAAGGTTTTGGCAGTTGTACAGGGATCCTTAAGTTTTTGGCAGTTGTACGGGGATCCTTAAGTTTTTGGTAGTGGTACGGGGATCCTTAAGCTTTTGGTAGTGGTACGGGTATTCTTAAGTTTTTGGCAGCGATACGGAGATCCTTAAGTTTTTGGCAGTAGTACAGGGATCCTTAAGTTTTTGGCAGTGGTACGGGGATCCTTAAGTGATAGAGTGTTTAAAGAGTAAGAGATAATTAATAGAAGAGGGCTGTGAGTGAGGAATGAATTGGAAGAATAGAAAGGTAGCACAGGTACTGGAAAGTAGACTGGTCAAGAGACACATGTTATCAAATAGACTTTCAGCTGTTTATAACTGGTATGAACTGAAAATGACAATAAAAATATAAGTTAAATGAATCATTTCTATTAAAAACTGTTAAATAAATAATTTCACCAATACTTTTTCCAACAATTGATAACTGATTATAAACCTCAACCAGATGGTAACATTTCACTATTGAAATTGTATTTAACTCTTTATGAAACCTTAGTCAAATGTAATATTTCATCAATGTTTTTTTATTTGAACTACATGTACCAAAATTGAGTCATATTTAAAATATCACAATTGAAATGTCTTAAATTTATGTTATAATCCAGGAAAATTTAGCAATGGAAAATTCTTCTCTTTTCTATTAGGATCAAGTAAATGTTAATTTTCACAGTTTAAATTTCATCATTTTCTATATACACCATATTATGATCAAAAGATCAAATTTCATCATTAAATAGTCTCACAATTTAATGAAAATGTAAAATTTTACCATTAACCTTTTAACGTTTCTATTACAATACAAATGTAAAATTTTACCATTAAAATTGACGACATGCACCCTCAACCAATTAAACATCTATTAAAACCCAGTTAAAACTATGGCAATAGTAATTTATTCCAATATATATTTGTAACACAATAAATAAATCACCACAAAGAATGACTATTTCAATTAGTTGAATAATTACTTACTGATTTTAAACTTGACATTTGTTTTTAAGAATAAAAATTCCCTACCTTGACTTCCTTCACCTGACAGGAATTTTTACCATGTTACGGACGTTTGTCCCATCATCAAATGGTTGCCACCCAAACCCCCAAACCCCTAACCCCCTTCCATTCCCAATATTATCAAAGCTCACCCCTTCTTTCAGGTTTTGGGAACTCATTCACCCCTGAAGACACATTTGAACTCCTCCAATTCAAAGGTTGGAATAGTTCATTATAAAATTTCAGGGGTGAATGAGTTAAAATATAAGAAGTAGTCTCCATTATGCCTTGAATAATGCCTAGAAACTAGTGATTTTTGCTACTATCTACTTTTAAAAGATTTTGTAAACTTTTCCATTTCACACTTTCGAAAGAGTTCAGAATTCATAAATTTTTATCAGTTAATGAATATCTGAATTAATTCAAAAAAATATTAGGAACAATGTTATAACAATACTCACTTTACATGGTATTTTTTAAGATACACTTACTTCTCCAATAAAAAAAAACATACAAACTTATCAGATGTAAATACATTTGTTGTCAATAAAAGAAAAAATAATTGGGAATCATAAAAACAGCTATCTTTATTTTTTTGAGAAAGAAATGAAATAATTGAAGGACCTTTTTTTTCATTTTTTTATTTGCCAGGTTTAGTCCTGAAACTCAAAAATGTTTGTGAGGTAATGCTTTGATTAAGATTCAGACAAGTAGGTTGTCCAAACTTGATTTAAAGATATATGCTACTCGCTATGACATTCATCTCCTTCTCAAAAGACTTTCATTCAAAAAAAAAAAAATCCCTTTAAATTCTTCTTTTTCTTTAATTTATAAAAAAATACATTAGTTATAAGGACTGGAAATGCTAATAAAACCTGTAAAGGGAGAAAACTCTTAATTATTATAGATATTTATCCCAGATCTTTTCCTGGGTAGTTTGGAAAATACAACCGTCATGAGGCTGAAAATATGTATCACCTAACACAGTTTCTTATTCTATAATCTGTTTTTTTTGTGGGTTTTTTTCATGTGAGACTTTTTGTTTGTTTTTCAATTTTTAGAAAAATATGAAAATTTTTGAAATTTTTGAAATCCTTCTTGTTATAAAATATTAATAAGGACAATCAGAAAATAAGAAAGCACCCCATTGGAATGGAATCTACAAATACCTGGATTGTATAGATTTTAAATTTTGCGATTGTTCTTTTAAATATCAAATAAATAAGGTTAGGAATAGAACCTGATATTTTCAACAACTGCACCCAATCTATTTGATTTAATTTACCATAACAACCAGAAGGCTTGGGTAGCAACCACTTGGTGATGAGTTGTGAGGGGAAGAGGGAATCACTCTGGTGTGAGGGAAGGGGAGAGCACTCTGAGCACATACCTGATGCAGCTGTTCTGCCGTGTCGTCTTCTGTACCCGATTGTTTCTGATGTCTCTTCACCAGCTGGTATAAATTGTGTGCAGCCCTGAAAAAAAAAGCAGATAATATCATAATACTCCTTTGTTTTCTGAACCATTCAATTACTAGTTGGCAGAAATTATGAGACCAACTGTAAAATATTTTAAAAAAAAAAAAAAAAAAAAAAAAAAAAATCTTTCTATTTTGCTTTTTTCTTCCCGGCACAAATCATTATATATCAACGAAATTAAAAATATATATATATATAAGTAAATCTATTCTACCTTCAAAATTAATGAATAACAAAAAAAATACACACAATCTCAGAAAAAAGAAAATATTTAGGAAAAAATATATTTTTGATTTATTCATTAGTATTAACACTGCTTCTTTAATAAGTTCTGTGATGATAAGATTATAACTACAATGTTCAATCTGAAATATTTTGAACCTCATCTTTTATTTCAATGGAAATGGAGTTTACATTTATAAATCTCTGGTTTTAATTGTTGAAAGTATCAAAGCATCTGTAGCCATTAGGACTCTACCTGTCTAGGGCATATTAAAAATGCCATTTATCTCAAAAACTGGACTTGTTACAAAGATTAGGAACAGCAGGGTTCTTGGCCATCCACCTGGCAGACTCTGTTGTTTATGAGACCATTTATGTAAATACTTTTCCTATTAATAGATTACAAACTAATTGTTTTATTACTTAATTTTGGTTTCTGATTTAAAGGTTTATAAATCTGGAACTTCATCTTTTTAATCAATCAGTGTGCGGAGTCTCAGGGTTTGAATTGAAATGGTCCATTACTTTTGAGGAAATTTACAACATATTTATAAAAACAGAAAAAATGATATAGCTATAAGTTCTAGGAAAATGACCATTAGCCTGCCTAATCAATATGGAAGTTACATATTCCATCGTAAAAATCCTCCAATATACTCACATTTTGATTCTACCAAGTTCCAAGGTTTTCTTAGCAGCCGTATTTTTTATATGGGTCCACTTGGACTCCCAGAACACAGCCTCACTTTGAGCATCGTCCAATCGGGTTTGTAGGCCAGAGAGGAGATTATTGAATGAAAGAATCTGGTTGTCTTTTTCCTAAAACAAAATTGGAATTCAATTAAGAGAATTTTAACTGCTAAAAATATGATTTATTTTAGGATTTTGTTTTGTTTATGAGATAATAAATACAATCGAGCACAAGGGAAATTGCATAAATGCTTTGCGTTTAAGAACAATTTACCTCGTGCTCCATTGGATTTATTATCTCATAAACTAAACAAAATATAAGGTTAATCCTCATATTTACAATATCTCCTTTTATCAATAACGCCATTAAAAGAGTCGGATACAAGCATTTACCTTGTGTGATCTCCGTTCAAAATTAGTTTGACGTTATTGTTAAACCGTACAAAACAGCCATTCGCAAAAGCCGTTGACAGACAGCTAAACCCCGCCCACTTTATCCGTGACAACAAATGAAAAATGTTCTTCCATTTCAATATTTTTATTCACATAAAATATCCATTTTTTTACTTTATACAATATCTTCATAATTGTATTAGTAGGTAATGGAATACATAATTTTATATTTGTATGAAATTGAGGTACTTGGGCAAAATACTTAGTAGAAAATACTAATGACCGCGGACGTCCATCGTTTAAAAGTGATGCGCCCAAAGGCAGGAAATAGAGAGTGCTACTATGTCATCGAGCGATAGTGACTAGCCTAGGCCTGGTGAAAGTTGAATGTAAGCAAACCGGATGTTTGTACAGATGACATGTACACTGTATGATGTGTATAAATCGTTTGTCGGCCGAGTGACTTTTGATGTAACATTTGGGAGACGAGAAATTTGACCAATATTTCTAGGAACGATACTGTAGCCATCGTTTCTGTGTCATGGCGGCCGACACTCAAAGATGAGAGAGTGGAGCTGGTGGAGCGTTTTTGTATCGACGAACAATCGCGACTGTAGCTTCTGTTTATAATAAACAGCCATGTTGAAATCTTAAGTCATATAACAATTAATGATAATATGTGCATATCTAATTAAGATTATAAAATATGCATGATCTAAATATTCCCAACACGAGGCATTAACAAAATATTTTCCTAACCAAAAGACCCTTTGATTTTATAAAGTTGAAATAGTATATATATATATATCTATCAATAATTTTGTTTACAAATGAAGATCATACCAATTTTATATGTGTCTGGAAATAAACTATTTATCATATGATGTGGCTATCAGTTAGTGTAATATATATTTTTTCTATCCCAAACACTGATTCAAATTCATTTTAAACGTTACATGGCATTACATTTTGTTGTCAATCAAACTAATTTGAAACCATACAAAGATGATGTATACCATCCACAAATTTTGGATTTTATCAAAGACATCAATGACCCTGACTGATCTGACTCATCATGAAATTGATTATTAATAAGATCACACGCATTAGCTTGACCCCAAAAGGTCAATGTCAAAGGGCAAAGCAGAGTGATCCAGATTTTACAAAAACGCAACACATAAATAAATCTTTTCTTAATTTTTTTATTTTATCTTATATGAATTAGAATTGGGAAAATTAAACCTATAATGTGTTTTAAGATTTTCGCCAGTAAAGAGGGTTATCCCGTAATTTTGACATCACAAGTAACAAAATTGCACAAAAAGGATGATGAGGGAAAACAGATTGTAGTAACCCACATCAAATACATGTTGAGATAAAATTTCTTAACTCTTTCACCCCTCAAATTTCATAATGAACTATTCCAACCTTTGAATTGGGAGAGTTCAAGTGTGTCTTCAGGGTGAATAAGTTAAAAGGACTACTTGCTTACCTCTGTGTATTTCATCAGGTTCTGTCTCTGCTGTTCAATCACAGATTGATTCTGGTTTTCTCGATCCATCAAGTCCTGAAATTATTTAAATAACCAAAAATTTACTAAAATCACCCACTTAAAATTCTCAGAAGTCATATCTGGGTGTTAATATGGTAAGCAGATGTTCTCAATAATCAAAGGCAAGAGGCCATAATGACCTTTTAATTTCAGGTTTTGTCTCCAAGCAACGAAGCATTAATACTTGGTTTGGTTTGATTGTGTTTTACGTCCTATTAACAGCTATGGTCATTTAAGGACATGACCGGTTTTGGTGGTGGAGGAGCGCCAAACTTCCCAGAGAAAAACCACCGACCTACCTGCCAGTATCTGACGACTGCCCCACGTAGGTCTCGAACCCGCGACCCAGTGGTGGAGCGCTCGTGGTAGCAGAATGTCCAACACCTTAACCACTTGGCCACCGCGGCCCATTAATACTAATGAATTGTTTTTTTGGTGGTGGCAACGGCATAGAACGTTCACATTTAGCTCCATGGCTACGTTTCCATCAAACAGCTGACATGGCAAGACAAATTTCTTGATAATTTGTGTAATTCTTGTTATTTTGGCCTCTTCAAAACGCCAGCTCTTTTAATGTACTCCATTTATGTATAACTTTACAAAACTTGTCTGGTTTAAAGAGTTGTTGGACTAGATCAGATAAAAGTTAATGAAAAGCCACGGAAATTAAGGTTTCAAACGAAATACTGAAATATTGACATTATATTGAATCTTGTAAAGAAAATACGTCCAAACTTAAAAACAGTAAATTAACTTAGATAAAGTAACTTCAAACAATTTATTTGACAGAAATTTTGAAATTAAGATACTCAACTTGTAAAAATTATTTGGAAGTTTAAAACTGAATATTTGTTAGCCATCTTTTCTTATAGGGTCTGCAGTTCTTCACTTACTCCATGGGTGGCCACCAAAGTATCGTGTCTGGCAATAATGTCTCTCATTTCGTGGAACTCCTCACCAGCCTCCAAAGTCTTCTCCATGTATTTGTGGAATACTGTGTATTTTTCTAGCTTAGTTTGAAGTTTTTCTTTTTCTTTTAACAAGGTACCTTTCTCGTCTCTCAGTCTAAAAGAAAACACAAACAGATTCTTAACTGAAAGTATATAATGAAGAAAAATCATGCACAATTAAAAACTGAATTAAAAAGTCTCAAAAAATATGTACATATAGCTCTGAACCACTAAGTGCAATAGCTTAAATCATTCACCCCAAAAGTTTCATAATGAACTTTTCCAACCTTTGAATTAGAAGAATTCAAATGTGTCTTCAGGGGTGAATGAGTTAATACATAATTGTCAGTAGGCCGAGTTGAAGGCTGAAAACATGTCTTACTTGTCTATTTCTTTGTCTTTCTGTTTTTTGGAGTCTCGTTCATCCTCCGCCTTTTTAAGTGCTCGTGCCCGTTTGGAGTCGTTATCCTGAAAATAGCAAACAAACAGAATTATGAATGAATTTTGTTAAATATCATTATTGTAAAGAAAATAAACATTTGAAAATTAAAAAAAATAATCTCTAGCAATTTTGCCACCTTATATGAAAACATATATGTTACATTATCATTATTATACATTATCATTTATATATATATATATAGGTATACATAAACAATAATGTTTTCAAAATTGTTTATAATATTCACTAAATATTCATTATGAATGAAACTAGCTGTAACACATCCTCAGCAATTTATATTTCAAGTTGACATATCTTAATGGACTGAGGATGAAAATAAACCTTAATTGCATGAAAAACAAAAATTCATGAATATATCGTACTTATGAAAGCCTGAGGTTTCTATCAAATATTTATAGATCTTTAACAAGATCCTGAATTAAATGAATGATTATGAAATATGATATTGGACATATCATCATTTGGACCAGTTAGATTGTTAAAGCATTAATCACATAAGCATGTTGCATGCAAGACAAACTCACCTTTAGGAAATGGTCAAATTTCAATAACGATTCTTTTAACTGGTATTCTTTTCTTTCTAATTCTTCTCTTCGCTGCTGTAAACTTTCCATTTTCATTTGGAACTCCTGTGACAGGAAAAAAATAAAATTAACAATACAAAAAACAAGAAATATTTTGAGTGCATTAGCCATGATATGAAGTCAGTTGTTTAGTATGCAACATGTGAACTTATTTATATCCGTTGTAAACAATTTTAAAAGTTTACAAATTTAATGAATTTAAAATGTTTGGTGTAAGGCCAATCTGAATTGGTTATTTGGGACATCAAAATTGAAACAGAAAATTCAATTGGTAAATAGTTTTTATTATGGTTTTAGAATTGGTTTTGCTGGCCTAGCTTGGAAGATCCATGCAGTAATACTTTAATTTTTTAACAAAATTGAGTATTTGTTACCGAGTAAAAGGATTTCTTTTGAAAAATACTTCAGATATTTCTATTTCGTATGATGTTACATTTCATTTAAATAAACAGTAAGCATCGATCATAAATTCATGTAACAAACGGACACTTATTTATGTGTAAACTAAAACATACATTAATAATAATAATAATAATTTGAGCTTCTTATATACCACTTTATCACAACCTAGTTTGTAGGTCGTCTCAAAGCGGTTCACAAATTATTATCCATGGTTATAGGGCCTTTGCAACCGGCCTATATCTTTCTCAACTTCCTGTNTCCATGGTTATAGGGCCTTTGCAACCAGCCTATATCTTTCTCAACTTCCTGTGGAGCATACAGCCGGTGCTGCCATTTCGGCACTCACAGCTAGCATTCGACAATTCTAGCACTGCCCAACCACATACTCATTTACAGCTGAGTAGACTGGAACAAGTGGAGTAAAGTATTGTGCTTAAAGATACAACACAGTGCAGTGCCGTGACTCAAACCTGCAACCCTTCGGTCATGAGCCCGGCGTCCTACCACTAGCTAGACTACCGTGCCTCCAAAAGGAATCGCAGGAAACACGAATCATGATCCCAATAATAAATTACAGTATATATGATGCAAAATTTGCAAAACCCCAAGCTTTAGTCTACCAAAATATGTAGATGTATTTAAGGCTATAGTGAGCAGATGAATGCTATGTACAGTATAATTGGTCTAATATGTATAGACTCATGCATTCATCATATACTACTGGAACACTCTGCGCACATTCAAATGCTCAAAATATGTAGTAATAATCAATTGCAATCATACAGCTTTTGACTTCTCCTAAACCTATAAGTTACAGTAATAGTAGCTAAAAATAACAAATATGTTATTACTTTCAGGGAAAATCCCAGTGGGCCATTTTCAGTAATTTTTAGTCAATATCAAAAGAGCCATTCTATGTAAAAATTAAAAGAAAATTGGAACATGGATGGGTCAATTTCAGTTTTGAGGGGTCAATGGCCTCATGGCCCCCTCCAGGATTATAGATTTCTAAATTTGCAACATGTACATAATTTAGCATACCAAGGTTTATAGCCAAACGAAGGATCTAGTTTTCACGGACAACCAGAGGGCTGATTTTCCTTGGAATTTCTAAAAATAACGGCCCATTATTTGTATACAAAGTTTAAGTGTATGTTACTTTGTATACATTTGCTTAAATTATACTAATTATACATATGACACAGTAATAACCCTGTATGTACCTCTTTTTGTGCTGCAAGAGCTTGTTCCACTTCTGCCATTTCTCTCCTTTTCTCAAGGAGGCGAGTAGCAGGTGTGAGGTGGTCATCTTCTCTTTCCGGCATCTTTCTGCATAAAAAAATTGAGAACATCTGCATGTCACATTTTGTTTAAGTAAAATCAAATTAATGTTTGATATTTTTGTCAAAGGTTCAGATCTGAATGTATGCTTGAAGGGATACCTGAACCTGGTTGTAAACGTAGTGTTGTTTTCACGGGCGAAACTTGCCGAAAGCTTAAAAAAAGGTGGGAGGGATGTGACAGAACTGGACTGGTTGATTGACGGTAACCAAATGCATTTAGTAGATCAATTGGTAGCGTGTCCGTCTAGAGTTTGGAGGGTTCCAGGTTCAAATCCCTGTCTGGCTATGCATTTCTCTTCACTCCTGTTACAGTCATTATAGTCTGACAACATCCATCAAAGATTAAGTGACAACATACATCGTATATATTTTAACCTAAGGCTTCATACGTTGGTACTATTTACTTTCCAAATTCTATACATGTCAAAATCAATTTATCATTACTGCAGTACTGTACAGTTTAAGTTCATCAACTAAGCTACAGATTGTGTTTGACAAATCTATCAATGGCTAAATCTTAACGGTTTTTGTCAATACAAACTATGGTGTATTTTTAATGCATGCAGCATACAATTATTTTTTTACATACATGGATATATATATGTTAAAAAAAAAACTACTATAATATAATATAATAATAATGTAATATAATAGTACTGGACGCAGGCATATGCCTATATATCCAGATCAGGTGTATCGTCAGACTCTAAGCTGACACCCCGACAGTTAATAAGTTCATTATTATCAATTTCATGGTTATAATAGCATTCTGGTTTTCCCCAGTGCTTATCCAGTCGGGCTTCAAACGTTTTTAGTGTTGGTGATGTGATGACGTGGTTTGGAAGTGAGTTCCAATGGTTGACTACTCTTTCTTTAAAGGCATACTTTCTTAAGTTTAATTTAATTTAATTTAATTTACACCTTATTCTTTTATTCTTGCATTTTCTTCACAGGATTGTTTAATTGCATAAAACGCTATGGCATTTGTTACAATTGCAAAATTTTGGATGATAGTAAGTATTTCTTAGCCATTTTAAGGCTTACTAACCACAACTACAATAACATGATCTTGGTAAGTATGATCTTAGTGCTAGGGTTGGGGCGCGGGTGGAGGGTGGGTGGGGGTGCAGTCATACTTCTTCATCTTCATCTTATTGACTTCCTCAGTCGATACCGACAATTACGGAAGTAGGGTCGTTGTGCTATTGTGCGTTAATTACAGTGATAATTTTTTTGATTTTTTTGTTATTTGCTATAGGATAAAAACAGGTTAAAAACAGTGAGTGAGTGCTAGTTATGTTGTAGGTTTTGTATATGTTCGATTATGTTGTATGTGGTGCATGTCCTGAATTCTGCTAGTGTATTTGATTGGATTATTGTTGTGGGTAGGAGGTTCCATTTTATTATGGTGTATGGAAAGAATGAGTGTCTGTTAATTACTCTGTATACATGTGTCTTTGGATGTAAAGATATGTCTGTAACGTAACGGTCGTGTCTGGTATCTATCAGGATGAGATTGCTAGTGTCTATTGCTACATGTTGGTGTATTGTTTTGTAGAGAAGAATAATGTGTGTTCTTGTTCTGTGTGTGTGTAGTGTTGGCCATTGCAAGTTGTGTATCATATCTGTGACTGCGCGCACTTGTGTTATGGTATTTGTTTACAACATATCAAGCTGCTCTTCGTTGTACTTTTTCTAATTTGCATATATATATGGGTCCCAAACTGAAGAGCAGTATTCGAGTTTTGGTCTTACAATGACCTGTATGCATGTTCTTTTATGTGTTGTGAATACAGTATGTGTCTACTGTTGCTGAGCACTGTCTGTCACTTTGAAGTCAATCAAATGACAGCATATAAGAAAGAATAACTTGCAACAGCGAACCATTGAGTAGGGGCTGAGAGGGACGGAATGTCAAGTCGTTGCATCAACCTTTACTTCTACTGTACTCATTGACACTGTTTGTTGGAGCATGCCATTTTTTTATCCATCATTATCAAACATTATTAAGGAAAACTGTACTCACACGAGGAGTTTATCCTCGAAAGTTGTCCGGAAATATTCTCCAAGATTGACATTCATCTTGGATGGTTCCCTTAGGGTGCACACAACATTAAATGATATCGATATAAATCTCCTTCCTTTTCCCCTTTCGTTTCCTGTCAAACCAAACCCGCCATTTGTAAACTACGACGATGTTGCTAGGGGACGGCAGCAAATTGTTTCAGCAGAATAGCTAATAAAACATTAAGATAAATAATAAGACTTTATATCACATATTCAATTCAGGGATTATATATGACGAATTCATATAAACCAATTATAATTTAATGTAATAAAATATAGATTTTTTACGTATTTTGACCTTGACTGCTTCCGGTATGAAATTGAGGCTCTAGCAACATGGAGTTGGCGAAGATGGCAGGAACAGTGGCCAAGCAGTTATTTTCTCGGAAATCGGTATTGTCATGTCGTGTGCTGAATTTAGGTCAAGCACATCACTCCAGGTAAATTAAAAAACATACTGAGTTGTTTAAAAAATGGGTGCTAAAGCGTTAATAACGGTGTTTGTTTGTTTTTATCTCCCGGCTTGCAGACGACGTTAGAGTTCGGACCGCTCTGTACTTTCGTTTTTCAAGGCCAGTCAATGTCAATCATCAAGCGTTTCATGTGGTAGTAAATACTGAAGGTTATATTGCCATATACAAACTTGTAAAAACGTACAGCACACCTTTCGATGTGTGAGAGCTAAAATTAGCCGTTGTCAATTGAATTCGTTCGGTCATGATGATGAACTCCGTTTTGGTGATGACCTCGATGAGTACGCTTTTGTTTACTTGCCGTCTGTCAACAGAGACGTACGCGTGTATTTAGAGATACTGGGAACACGTGCAGGTGAACGCTTGCTGGCGTTTTACCTTGGAAGTATATAAGCTGGATGAATGGTTAATAAATAATAGTAGGCAAACTTAACAGTTAAAAGATTGTATCAGTTTATAAACATGTGCATCAGTGTTTGAGTCTCTGTTATGGTAAAGTAATAAATTGTTTTGTTTATTTCAACTTGACACTGAACTTTTTCTACACTATCAACTTAAGTCAACATTTCTTCACTCCCTAAAAGATATTATCCTTCATTAAATGTCACTTCATAGCTGTCACGGTGCAATGTAGAAATTGAAGATTTCTTATTAAATTACGTTGAGGATTAATGATTAATTCATGGTGTTTAGTTGTCTGTTTGCAAAATATATGAACAGATGGTACAAAATTACTTTTAAAAACAAATGTCCCGTCATTAGATTCCATGGCCCAGGCTCATTCTTTTTTCAACCCCTGGATGCAGTTGCTACCGTTTCAAACTTGTTTTTATAGTTGTTATCAACAGCAAGATTTTGAAAAATTCTTCTTGCACAACATTTATTTTATAGTAAATAACCAACATTTTTGCTAGCCCAGAAATAAAATCTAGTCGCATGGCATGGGGTTAGCCCAGTAATGGAATTGTACACACCCGTGGCAAACATTTCCTGTTTGATAACTCTTAAAGATATGTATGGGAATAATGCAAACGGTATGAAAAATTATTTCCAACACTGGAACTTACTTTGATAATTTAAGCTATTACATATTTCAAATTCAAGTTTCAAATTTCTCCAATTCATTATATTTTAATTAATTAATTTCCTTTACCAAAAACTTATCTAAAACACCTACAGTATATGTTCACCCTACCATTTTTCTTCGATAGAGGATGAAAGGCTGCTTACATACCTCACTGATCTGCTAAGTTAATCTTCTGATTTTACGATAAAATAGGAGGCACAGTACCATTGTCTAGTGGTAGGACACCAGGCTCATGACCGAAGGGTTGCGGGTTCGAGTCGCGGCATGGCACTGTGCTGTATCTTTGAGCAAGATACTTTACTCCGCTTATTCCAGTCCACTCGGCAGTAAATGAGTACGTGGTTGGGCAGTGCTAGAACTGTTGAATGCTAGCTGTGAGCGCCGAAATGCCAGCACTGGCTGTATGCTGCCCAGGGAGTTGAGAAAGATATTTGCTGGTTGCTAAGGCCCTATAACCACGGATAATAATTTGTGAACCGCTTTGACACGACCTTCGAACTAGGTTGTGATAAATACCTTTTATTCCATAGTGCCTTGCTTGGCATCACCTCACTTTTGGCTTTAATGTTGAGCATTCGCCCAAGTGAGAAAGGCAATTGGTTCTGTCCCAAGGCCGGGACATACCAAAGTCATTAAAAATGGTAGTTGTTATTCCTTGCTTAATGTTCAGCATTTAGGGGAATGGCAACAACAGGTTCACCCGTTGTCAGTATAATGTGACCAGGCCGAATGCTGTGCTGTGTGCCTTCGGCATGGCAATTCAGTGAGATATCACTATAAAGTCGGCATCAGATCCGCGCTATCACAAGGAGGCAAGCACGCCAACATATCCTGTCTCCTGCATACACACACGCAAGCAAGTTTAAACCAAACCAATCAACAAAAAACACAAAAAAAACACACAAAAAAAAATTCAAAAATGTTGTCTCTTTGTTTTTTGTTTTAGATGCCTGAGTACCTCACACACAAGGCAGAGTGAGTCAAGCTCAGACTCCAACTCTAAAGGATGGCTAAAAAACATCCTCTCCGTGAGAACACTGCCTGCCAGCAAGGAGTCTCACTCCAGTCTCCTCTCCAACAAAGAGACTGTCTACGAAATGCAGTGTAAGTTTGTGAAAAAAACAGGGCTGTCGGCTCCCCAAGGTACTCAATGTAAAACTTTCAGCGTTTTTTACAACATACACAGTCAAACTTTGATGTTTTGAACTTTGCAGGATGATCAGGAAAAATTCAAAACATAAATGGTAAACTACAAACGATCTTTGAGATCCTGTAGATCCTGTAGATACTGCATAAGACTGAATGTGATCGTTAAGTGATGGAACAAAAGGAAAAAAATACATTTGAAATCTATAAACATTGGGTTTAATGAAATAAGAAAAATATGTTTCATCTTTCAAGTATTTATACACTATAGTATAGTTTGCATGTATAGGGGTTAGAGGTGTTACAATACGCCAAGAGTGTATCACGATATATTGCAATACAGAATGAATATATTGCGATACGTATATATCGATATATTGTCATAGAAAGGATGTGCTCAATTTTATAACAAGTTGTTGTCAGAATGTTATCAAACTTAATCATATATAATATGGATTATATAGATTTAATTTTTTTGTCAAACCAACCATCGATTATAAAATTTGAACTGCGTTAGAATTTGTAGTAATTTGCAAAGTTAAAATACCAAGCAGATACATAAAAAATAAACTTTTGAAAAATATTTCGATACAGCAATACTTCATCTCTGTATTGTGGTACGATACGATATACCTGTGTATTGCCACATACCTGTTTTCCGATATATTGTGACAGCCCTAGTTATAATGACCCCAGGACATAACTTTATTTTCTTAACTGTTTTATTTCAATTTATTTGATGTAATTTGAAATGTTTTCCTGATAGAACCTTAATTGTAGTTCGAAACAGCAAGACATTCGACTCATCAAAGTTTTATTCATAAATGGAATATATCAGTAGTGTTGTATAAGAGGAAAAAATCCAGATTTTGACGTAAGTTGGACGCATCGAGAAATTAGAATCTTTACAGTTTGATTTGTATTCAAGTTTGACTTAACTTATTTTCAGCATTAGAAAACAATTTTTTGCAAGATCGTATTGTAAGAAATTAAATTGATCAGACAATCTCCTAGTTGAATTTGTTGAACTTAAAATTAAGTATTCACGAATTATTTGTCACTCCTCCAGAATTTTTGCAAAAATATGAAATATCTCAAAAACTGCAGCACAACATAACTTTTCAACTGTACTGCAAGATTTGCACATGAAAGGTGTTTGCACTCTGGCCTTTTCGAAATGAATTTTCCAATTTATGTTACATTTTTTTCGCTTATACCTAACCGTGTATATAATGTAAATATTTTCCGTTGGCTGGATTTGACTAACTAGTATCATTCAAAAGTTAAAAAAGCAAAGGCAAGCATTGTAATTTTCACTGTTAATGATCTCGGTACCACTACCTTAAACTGTAACTATAATGCTTTGAAAAAAGAAATTCTTGCATAACTATAGTTATCTGGAAAGAAAACCATACTTTGCAGGACTTTTATGAAGAAGAAATGATGAAATAAACTAAATAAAATCACCAAAAGTGTTCAGAATGAAAATAATTCTGCAGGGCTAAACAGTACTTGAACCCATGGTCCGTCTGTACTGCAATTATATCCAAAGCGGAATTAAGGGGAGGTTATTTTTATTTACGATAGAGCACTAAGCAGTGAGACAGGGATCCTGAACCCTTTCCCCACTGCAGACCATAATGGACTCATCCATATCAATGCATGGTAGAATCTACTAAAGTTACATAGGGGTGAAAGGGTTAAATTCCTGTTTAGTTTGTGGGTTGTTTTTCTACCAGCGAAGTCAAGTTACCAGTTTATTATTCTGCTTCGTTATCCATTGTTGTGTTTAATTTACAAATAATCTTACTTTAATTCCAGTCCATGCTGTCAAGCCGGAGAATATGGAGGAATATCTCAAACAGTTGTAAGTTCCGGTTTGGTTTATGGCTGTTAATAGATGTAAAATTTGTCATAAATGATGATAGCCAGCTCAGGATTTCAAGCTTTTCTTTCAGATTCCACAGTATCTTACATCTTGTACATTATGTACTGGCAATGAGTAGTTAAAGATTCCAACTGACATACGATCAAAGATTTGTGTTGACCACCTCTATATAGTGACCACTGTCTGAATGGTTGTAACTGAAAATTGGGATATTTTTGCTGTGGTTATAGTTTTGCGTATTTGCATGCGCAAGATTCAAATTTGCAAAAATTACATGCATACAAATTTAACAACTGTAAAAAAATAACCCTCTAATTACCTTTCACTTTGCGTCAGAGTACCAGACTACCTGAATGGTGTGTACAGAAGCTGGCAATTAAAGTCTGATAGCCTGTGGCGATAATATAGAAGGTTTTATTGCTGTAGTGTAGGGTTGATAATATAGTGTTTACATGTAAAAATGGGCGAAGCCTGCAGATCACTTGAAATAAAGAAGTTTCTATTAGATGGGGGAATATGATAATCATTTACCAGGTAGTCAGCACTATAACATCTAAACATGACATAAAAATTATGGAAGTCATATTTAATTTTTGCACATAAATGATAAAATAAACAAGTAAAAAAAGGTACAGCTATATTTTCTAGCTTATTAGTTGTCAAGTTAAAAAACATGAAGAGTACAACACTTCAAAATGAGATAAAACGTAAGCTTTATTTTTATTTCAGTGAATCCTTTCAACAGTTGATGCATGACAAAGGCACAGGTGCAAAACTTATAGGTAGCTTCACGGTGGAGATCGGCGACCAGGACGAAGCAGGTAGGTTTTGTGTGATTCATGTTGCCAGTCACCAGTAAGACGAGTAGAGAACGTGTTTCATTCTCTAAGGCATCCTCGATATTCCAGGGGTTATGCTCACAAGTGTACGCTCTCTGCACCCCTGGAATATATCAGAGCAAAATTGAAGGCACAAAGATAGCTGTTTGATTGGTCTCGGGTAAAAAAAACCTGACCAATCGCTAGGCTGATACCTGTCCTTTGAGGATTACAGAGGAGCGACACCCGACTTCAAAGCCAGTAATTTTTTACCGTCACGCGAACGTGAAATTGTTTTGATGTACATCAAATGATCGAACTAGACTTTTTGTCTCATCAACAACGTGGCGCACACTGAGCCTTCGATTTTGCTTTGACATATACCAGAGTTGCAGGGAGCGTACATGAGCGTAACCCCTGGAGTATCGAGGATGTCTTTAAGGGTGTTGGCAATCTTTCGTACTGCTTTGATAACAAATTGATTTTTATGATGATTAAACAAATTATCATCAACAGCAGTGTTCTGTGTGTATAAAAATTCACCATTGCTAGAGCAAGATTGAAATCTTGGAATCTGATCATTATACTGTTACTCTAACTGACTAAATAAGGAGTGGGGTTCCAATCACAACACGACTCGTGCCTCACTAGTTTGATTGGATATTTATTATGACAGACTAGTTTTGACTCTTCAGAGGTTCGGATGACTCACTGAAGAGTCTAAACTAGTCGGCCATAATAAACGTCCACTCAAACTGGTGACGCCCCTAAGCTTTGTTGTGATTGGAACGTGGAACCCCTCTCCTTATGTTGCCATATCCTATACCCATCACCCTGCATACCAATTGGTATCCGCACTCAGAGTGAAGCACCCCACTGATTTTACCCATCTATAACTCACATGACGTTGGCTCTACTTCTTCCATTTAACCCACTGATTTTACCCATCTATAACTCACACGACATTGGCTCTCCTATTTCCATTTTACCCACTGATTTTACCCATCTATAACTCACACGGCATTGGCTCTACTATTTCCATTTAACCCACTGATATTACCCATCTATATCTCACACGATGTTGGATCTCCTATTTCCATTTAACCCACTGATTTTACTCGTCTATAACTCTCACGACGTTGGCTCTACTAATTCCATTTAACCCACTGATTTTACCCATCTGTAACTCACACGACGTTGACTCTACTATTTCCATTTAACCCACTGATTTTACCCAACTAGAACTCACACAACGTTGGCTCTACTATTTCCATTTAACCCACTGATTTTACCCATCTATAACTCACACGGCATTGGCTCTACTATTTCCATTTAACCCACTGATATTACCCATCTATATCTCACACGATGTTGGATCTCCTATTTCCATTTAACCCACTGATTTTACCCAACTATAACTCACACAACGTTGGCTCTACTATTTCCATTTAACCCACTGATATTACCCATCTGTAACTCACACGACGTTGGCTCTACTATTTCCATTTAACCCACTGATATTACCCATCTATATCTCACACGATGTTGGCTCTCCTATTTCCATTTAACCCACTGATTTTACCCGTCTATATCTCACTCGACGTTGGCTCTACTATTTCCATTTAACCCACTGATATTACCCATCTATAACTCACACGACGTTGGCTCTACTATTTCCATTTAACCCACTGATATTTCCCATCTATAACTCACACGACGTTGGCTCTATTATTTCCATTTAACCCACTGATTTTACCCATCTATAACTCACTTGACGTTGGCTCTACTATTTCCATTTAACCGACTGATTTTACCCATCTATAACTCACGCGACGTTGGCTCTACTATTTCCATTTAACCCACAGATATTACCCATCTATATCTCACACGATGTTCGCTCTCCTATTTCCATTTAACCCACTGATTTTGCCCATCTATAACTCACATGACGTTGGCTCTACTTCTTCCATTTAACCCACTGATTTTACCCATCTATAACTCACATGACGTTGGCTCTACTATTTCCATTTAACCGACTGATTTTACCTATCTATAACTCTCACGACGTTGACTCTACTATTTCCATTTAACCCACTGATTTTACCCATATGTAACTCACACGACGTTTGCTCTCCTATTTCCATTTAACCCACTGATTTTACCCATATCTAACTCACACGACGTTGGCTCTCCTATTTCCACTTAACCCACTGATTTTACCCATATGTAACTCCCACGACGTTGGCTCTCCTATTTCCATTTAATCCACTGATTTTACCCATATGTAACTCACACGACGTCGGCTCTCCTATTTCCATTTAACCCACTGATTTTACCCATATGTAACCCACACGACGTTGGCTCTCCTATTTCCATTTAACCCACCGATATTACCCATCTGTAACTCACACGACGTTGGCTCTCCTATTTCCATTTAACCCTCTGATATTACCCATCTATAACTCACTCGACGTTGGCTCTACTATTTCCATTTAACCCGCTGATTTTACCCATCTATAACTCACACGACATTGGCTCTACTATTTCCATTTAACCCACTGATTTTACCCAACTATAACTCACATGACGTTGGCTCTCCTATTTCCATTTAACCCTCTGATTTTACCCATCTATAACTCACACGACGTTGCCTCTCCTATTTCCATTTAGCCCACTGATTTTACTCGTCTATAACTCACACAACGTTGGCTCTCCTATTTCCATTTAACCCACTGATATTACCCATCTATAACTCACACGACGTTGGCTCTCCTATTTCCATTTAACCCTCTGATTTTACCCATCTATAACTCACACGATGTTGGCTCTCCTATTTCCATTTAACCCACTAATTTTACCCATCTATAACTCACACGATGTTGGCTCTCCTATTTCCATTTAACCCACTGATTTTACCCATCTATAACTCACACGACGTTGGCTATCCTATTTCCATTTCCATTTCCATTTCCAGTTCTAGCCTGATTCACTTTTGCTGCAATTTAATTCAAAATGAAATTAAGGGGAGATTACTGTTTAAAATAGGAAAAACTACTGTGGGATTCACTAATGTTTGGCCTGCAGTGTAATCCTTTAGTTCTGTTACAAGTACACGAACGGTAAGAGGCATGACAAACTCATTTTAACCTTTTCACCTCCATGCAACTTAAGTAAACTCTATCATACATTGATCTGGATGAGTCCATAATGGTCTACAGTGGTGAAAAGGATCATGCTTGCCCACTGATACTGTGTTTGGTGAACTTAGAGAATAAGTTCTACTGGTACATTGAGAAATGTACTAAATTTTACAAATGAATACATGCATATTAAAGATGATTTCATACATTCTGTATTTCAAGATATATGTCAAGATGTTGTTATCTGGCTGCCACGAAGAAGTGGAAGCGTGACTATAAGGTGTTGCTTTTCTGACGACAGCGTCAATATTAAGTTTTGCATTGAACTTAGTTTCACTGAAAGTATAAGTGCTAGACCAACCAAACTTGGACCATAGATGCATCTTAGATAGGACATCTCAACCCATGCATGAAATGCTGGATGCAGCCTACATTTCATGGGCCATCGACTTTTTCAGCATCTCCATCAACATTAAGTTTTTGCATTGAAGTTAGTTTGTTTGATATGTGGATTGATGGTCAAAACGGAGCATAGGCGAGATATATCAATCCAAATGGCTTGTATTTGAATTTACATTACTTTTTACTTGCAGTCCATATTTGGCAGTATCCCGGAGGATATCCTGTCCTGAACAATGCAACAGAAATATACAGAAAAGACAAAGTAAGAAGTCATTTAATAATAATTGTTGTAAGTAAACAATGAAAAATCAATTTGAAAGAAAATTGAGGTCCCGGCTCGACCTGTTGCTACACAGATATGCAAAATCCGAATTCAATTAAAAGGTAACGTTTTCCCTACCAATTGAGCTACCTGGTCGCTGATAATCAACCTAAAAGTCTACTACCCCAGAGACACACAAGACCCTATGCCACCTTCTTTTGTTATACTTTGTTGGGCACCAAATGTACTGCTAGTAGGAGCTGAAAAATGTACGTCCAGACCGGGTTTGGACCCAGGACACCCTCCAAGGAATTTGTATGTTGTATTTTATAGCTTACGGAAGAAGGCATATAAAAACATGATAAATGGCAGAGTTTAAGTATGAAATAAATGTGAACCTATCAGGACATGATTAAAATTATATAAATAGATAAACCCAATAAGAAACAAACATTTTATGATATAGCCCTCACTGATAAGTCAAAGGGAGGTAACTGGTAACTTCAATTGCTTTATCTGGGGCCTGTTTGTTTATGCAGAACAACCAGTACGTCTGTTTTTAAATGAAACATTTTTGGGTATATATCCTGGCAGACCTGCCCATGAGTATATAGGCCTGGTAAAGCTTTGTCAAGGCTCGCCTGAAAGCAGCATCAGATTACTAGGTCAGACCTTAATTCATAAACGAACAACCCTGGTCTGGCCGGTTCAACCGTCTGGATCGCGATAAATTATGCTGTATTACCCAGCTCTTTTTAATGTGGTATCACATGTCTTTATTGTGGTTGCTAGATTGTCATTAAGGATATGTTATTAAGCTTAAGCATTGGGATTTATTTCAGCACAATTTTATTATTCTCATGTCTTATTATATTTGTTTTGTATCTTGAAGGATTTCATTGATTATCGTCTCAGACGAAACAAAATGCTGAGGTCAAGGAAAAACCAAATCCTGCTGCCTTTCAGCTTCTGGCCAGAGCCAACAGCACGAGGAGGCAGTAATATATACGAGATGAGAAGCTATACGTTAAAGGTAGGCATATTACAGGGACAAAGCTTTACGCTAAAGATATGCATATACTGGGTCAATTCTAGATGGGTTGCATCCATGATACGCCAGGGCTAATGCTCACTTTTGCTTTCTGCACTCCTAGAATATGTCATAGCAAAATTGAAGGCACAAAGACAGCTGTTTGATTGGTCTTGGGTAAAAAAAACTGACCAATCGCGAGGTTGCTACCTGTCCTTTAAAGATTAATTGCAAAGGAGAGATTCCTGATTGTTACAAATGTTACTAATGTCTATTACGCAATTGAGAGATTTGTTTGATGTACATCAAAGGATCAAACTAGTTTTGTCACATCAACAAGGTGGCGCACACTGGTTTCGATTTTGCTATGACATGATATTCCAAGGGTGCATCTCGAGCGTGAAAGTGGGTGTAACCCCTGGAGTATCGAGCATGGAGGGGTTGGAATACTAGGGTCAAGAATTCATAAACTGCAAGGATATTGCACGTATTCTTTGGAGTGTCAGTTATATGTATATATCAGGGAAATCCTCAACTCACCTGCAAAACTTTTAGGCCTGTATTTAGCAAAATGTTAGAAATGGGTGCGTATTGAAAATATTGTTTTTCAGAATAATACTTTTTACTAGTTTCGATAATACTTTTTACTAGTTTCAATAAATCTTTAAAATTGCCTTTTTATGCATATAGCATGTTTTGATAATGTTTCCAAATTTCAAGAATTTAAAAGCAATAAGATATAATTGAAATATAAAAAATCAATAAAATATTTTGAGAAGGTGATTTACTGTGAGTTGGTCTGGCTTAGACGAACAATCAGTAGGCTATTTTAAACCTAACACAGATACGATGCATGTATGTAAATGCTTGTATTTTTGTACCTGTTATCAAAATAATTGAGTTTGAAAAAAAAAAAAATATATATACACATGTATGCTTGAAACTTGATGTAACTGAATTTCAGAATTGCTTAATAATCTGAAATATTTACATCTGATGTCATTTGCTTTCTTTAACAGCCTGGTACTATGATTGAATGGGGTAACAACTGGTAAGTATACACATATACCGTCATCAGAGATATGTTAAACATTGGGAGATAGTGTTTGTTATAAAATTGATTTTGGCCCCAATAGGAGAAGAATACCAGGCTCAATAAAGACTCCAACTCTTTTGATCTCTCAATACAAAACTGTAAAATGAACTCCAAAAATCTTCTGTTACTTTGAAAAATATGTTCCTGATATACTGTTGAGATTGGTAACGTTGTAGCTACATGTACTCCTACCTTACTAAAATGCAGAAGTTAGGACTTTGAGACTTGCTTCCCAGTTATTTATAAAAAAAAATGATAAGTCTAAAAACAATTCTATCAGTGTGAGTGAAACTGTCAGTTCAAGTACCTTACCAAATTATTTTGTATAAGATACAGTCTAATATAAGCCACCTTATTTTTGTTTATTCTTATTTCTGTGACAAATGAAGTATACAGACGACCTTGAATCAATTACCTGATTACAATTTTGTCAAATGTCAATCTAGTTACTGTTTGCAGTTTGTGTGCTGATTATTATAATGCAATGATAACTTCAATAATGAACATGAATATTTTCCCTTATTTAACTTTTTATATATATAACGTTTTCTTTCTAATAAGGACCATGATTGCTGTATTGATTCATGTAAACAAGAAATTTGCTAATGATGTATAATTTTATATTCCATTTTGTAACTTATTTCTTTGATATAAATAAGGTAAAAATCTGTTTTAAATATTTCGTGTAAGCTGTTTTGTGTTCATTGAATTATTTCAAATTGATTTTAAATTGTTTCGGCTTTATGCTTTGGCTTGCATTTATACTTTTCTTTTGACAATTTTTATTAACTCAAAATAATTGGATTTTTATGGGGGAAGAGTTTTCTCCCTTGGGCTTGAGTGTTAGCCTCAATCTGCTAGGGGACTTGACGATACTCTTTAAACCTTTCACCACTGTAGACCATAATGGACTCATCCAGATCAATGCAGGGTAGAGTCTACTAAAGTTACATAGGGGTGAAAGCGTTAACTGTACCATATGCCCAAAGCTTTGCATATCATAGCAATTTCTTTCTCCAAGCATAATTTTAGTGACTTGATCTATTTTTTGAGGTTGGAAATATTAGTTGGAAATGTTTCAAAACATTTCTTTTAAAAATATTAGTTGGAAATGTTTCAAAACATTTCTTTTAAATCAGTCATAACATTTAATTTTAAATTATTGTAAACGAAAAATACTTTACAGGGAAACATGTTTTGCCTTAAAATGCAACTTCATTTATGTATGCGGTACACTTTGTATCAGTGAATGTATCATTTCAGCTTAGCACTTTATTATAATACGTCAGTTATCATCTCGATATTGCACTACTGGCAATTGTACCCATTAATTGCCCATTAAAAACCCAATAGTTTTATAACTATTAATAATGTACCCATTAATGAGTGCAAATTAATGGTCAAATTCCATTATTTTTAATTCATAATTATCAATGGCCATGATAAAATGATTGTATGATAATAGCATACAATATCTAGTTTAATGGCCATTATGATAAAAACCCTGTAATGGCTATTAATTAGCATTCTTTTTTTTCTCAATAATGGGCATTACATACCTGCAGTAATGGGCATTAATAACAAAATAATGGGCCTTATTAACAATAAAAACAAAATATAATGGACATTAAAATAATAATGGTGACATAGTAAGATAGAATAATGGTTATTTAATGGGAATTTGATATATTAGTGGATGATATATAAATGCCCATTAATCAAAACACTCCATTTTCTTCCAAAAAAACGAAACAAAAAATAATGGCAAAACGTAATGATTTTTATTATTAATTACATTTTAATGGGGATTTAATGCAAGTTTAATGGGCACCTATGCCAGTAGTGTTACTAGATCAATAATATGACTATTTGAAATGAATAGCTTTTCAGCTATGATTTGCTTAAAGCTAGGTATTGAACAGTCCAAGTGTTCAAACTCTTTCTGTTGTTGAAGAAAGCTATATGGGTTTAACTCATGACTTTTCTTATAGGTTTGCTTACAGGGGTGTTCAATTTCACTTTTCTGGAATCGCCAACTTATTAATTCAATGTTGGGGCTGATAACAAATTTCAATATATATGCAGGGTGTTGCACAGGCCTTGGAAAGCCTCCTAACAGTCTTAGATTTAGTTTATCATGATCTGTATGAACCCTAGGGCCTGTTGTGATTGAATTATTGTTTCAGCTAGTGGTTTTTTTAGCAAGATACTTTGCTCCTCTTGTTCCAGTCTACTCAGCTGTAAATGAGTACGTGGTTGGGCAGTGCTAGAATTATTGAATGCTAGCTGTGAGCGCCGAAATGGCAGCACCGGCTGTATGCTCCCCAGGGAGTTGAGAAAGATATTGGCTGGTTGCAAAGGCCCTATTACCACGGACAATAGTTTGTGAACCGCTTTGAGACAACCTACGAACTAGGTTGTGATCAAGCGGTATATAAGAACCTCGAATTATCATTATAATTATTATTATTATTAATTTTGGGAAATGTCTCTGCAGCCTCATTCTCTGAATAAGGAATGGAATACCCCTGACCTGTGTCCAGTGTGGCAATAGATTAACAAACGAAATATGCAGGACAATGCTTATTACGGTGTCACAAACATGCATTTGGGGCAATCTCATTTTTGAACACCCAAGTTTATACTTTGAACACAAATGCTTATTAAAGTCTAAAACAGGTTTTTTTCTGATAAGGAATTTGATAAAAACAACACTGTATGGTTGTGATGTGCTTACAACAAGCTATTTAGGCTCACTGGTCGTTTTTCTGTATCATTTTCAAGAATGCCGCAATATATATTCATTGCTGTACGTTGTGTTAACAACATTTGTTACATTACTGTTTTATGCCAATTTGCATCTCCGTTCCAAACGAGTCTCAGTACTAGAAACCGGTCAAAACTGTCATTAATAATAATTATTATTCTGTGAATTTAACTGACGTCGAATATAAAGGAATTCATGTTTCTACAGGCATGTAATTCGAAATTCATAAAATTGAAAACATGACCATGAAAATAATTCCTGTATAATTCACTATATAAGGAACATGAACATGAACATGAAAACAAGTCCACTTCTGTTCTGATGTATGAGATTTGAAAAAGTATTTGTCGTTTCATTTCTTTAGTCTATGAAATTCTACAAAGTATAAACAGAGATTTATCAAATCACGGTGTTAACTAGATAACCACGTGATATAGAATAATTACAGTTATGTGAATGTTTGAAGGGCTCGTGGTATAAAATCACGAACAGACGAACCGGTGTGTGGCCTTTTTTCACAAATGGGGGAACTGAATACCGTTCAGCACATATGGGGTAAGTTTGGATGGAGTTACCTCTCTGCCTTAGCACAGCGTTGATAGCTACTCTTTCAGTCTGCAGTCCTTGCCTGAACACTGTGCTACGGTCAGCCTAGCTAACACTACCAATTAACGGACTGTATACACCACTTTAGCGTCCTGTCCCACCATCTGCAATTAACTGCATACATTCAGCGATTTTTTTTCTTTTAAGTCTTTTGGGATAGCTTTGTAATTTTTGCATCATATTTCTCACATCGGAAATTTCGAAAGAAGATTGATATCATTTCCCAAAGAAGAAAAAAAATAGCTGAAATTGTGCCCAAAGTTCTATAAGTTGTTGATTTTTCCTTACTGTTCATGAAATTTTGAACGCAAGTCGTGAGTTATTTCTGAACGTTTTTTCATTTTTCAATCCACAACATACAACTTAAAACTTTGGCCCTTTCGAAAAATTGATGGTTTTCTGCTTTTCTCTGCCATTTATTTGAGATTGTATGCCTAATATGAATCATTGTCAAATTAGTTCAAGTGGGAGAAATCCTCGACAACTGTAAAGTTTGTACATATTTAAAAATTTTGTATAACCTACAGGTACAAAAAGAGGCAGAACAAAACGTTTTCTTTTCTTAAATTTCTGGGGGGTTTTATCAATAAAAATGTGTTCAACCCACTGTACTGTCTGTCAGAGTAAAAAGCAGAAATACATCAGTTATGTGTCTGGCCTAAAATCCTTTATAATACTGCCGAGTGGTTTTGGGTTCTTTGCTGTTCTTCCCGCTATTACTACTAAAACCTACTGTATACCGATATTTTTCGCTGCATTTGAACTTTCGCCTTATTTTCTGTCCCGTGATAAAGGGTATTGTTTTCATTATAGCAAATATAAGGAAACGGCACAATAAACGTAATAAATACATGTGAAAGGCAAAATTACTTGGCAAAATCATATTTCATTGGCGAAGGGCGAAAGTTTAATTGGGCGAAAATTTCCCAGTATACAGTTTTATGCCATATGAAACATATAGGGCATGAACGAACCCCGCACAAACTACTAACTTATGTTTATTAGACTTGCTTTTCAGATCCTGGTGTGAGGGAGCTAGCTACCTAGTACATTGTATATGTAGTGTGTATATTGTGAGTAGCTACTTAAGGTGTTGTCTGTGTATGTTTTATCAAGGGCTCGCGGAATAGAGAATCGCCGATCAAACAATGAAGCGGTAGCAGGGTTATTCACGCATTTGGGCACGCAATATGTGGTACATCATTTATGGGGTATGTGGTCTTCATCTCGTCAATGCTTGAAGGATGTGATGTATTGACAGTAAAATGTTTTCATGTGATACGGTCAGACCTTGTTTATCTGACGGCTGTTAGTACGGAAAATTTAAAATTAGACTTTTTGTTTTATACCAGACTTCCAATTGGAATTCAACGAAAGAGATTTAATTGTTAACATGAAATCCTGTGTTCCGGATTCGAATCAGACAAATCAAGATTGGTTTCATTTCTTTTCGTGAAAAACTGTTCTAAATGTAGAGTTTGTATATGCCGTTGTCAAAGTGGTAAGCCATGTAATCAGGGACATGGTTCATCGACCACACTAGCTATCTCCACAACAACCCCTGTCATGGAAATGGAACATGTACTATAATTACTTTTGTTTAACCAACGTAGATGTGAAGTTGAGGTACGTTGATTTATTAAGTTTAAATATTTCAATAAATATCCAAAAACATGTTTATCAAGATAAATAATTCTTTTGAAAACAAACTCTTTAGACAGTTAGTAAATCATGTATTTTGCACAAAAGATATGTTGATAAATAATGTAAATAATTCTTTTGAAAACAAACTCTTTAGACAGTTAGTAAATCATGTATTTTGCAGAAAAGATATGTTGATAAAAAAATCTTTTGAAAACAAACTCTTTAGACAGTTAGTAAATCATGTATTTTGCACAAGTATGAATATTTGATTATTTCATGTACCCCCCTTAAAATGTTTATTTTTCTGTTTAAATCATTGTATGTTTCAGCAATAGTTTCGAAATTCTTTGGATATAGATTAAATTGATATATGCTACCTTACAAACTAGAGCGTTGGTAAGGAGACATTTTCCTTTAATAGTGACTAATGCTTCATTATTCCAGAATTAAATTGACTTTGCAAGTTTTTGGTTCGTAGTATGAGGTCAGCCCCATTGCTGATACATGTATATTCCAATGTTTGATGGGACCAGGTGTTCCGGAAGGGCAAGTGCCTTCTGTTTCATCCAGGACATCCATCTTGTAAATCTAGGTCAAATCAAATGTTGTCACTTCTTAAAAGCGACAACAGTAATTCCTAGAAATATTGCATTTTTACAGTCTAACACTTAGTTTGCATGAAGTTTGTTAAAGGATGATCGGTTAGATATTGTAAAAATAAATTAAAAATGCATGCTTTAAAGCAAGACTATCATTGTTTTGGTATAATACCTGGTAATTTTAATAGTGTATAGGCTTCCCACTTAGGCATCTGTCAAGTTAAGTTGAAGATTAATCCCTTCTCCCCACTTCTAGGTATGTCATGTTGACCTTCCCACACCCCCTACTTGCCCCCTTTTGAACCAAGGGTTTATTTCCCAAAATACACTGACAAATCTGTCTCTGGCTCGTGTAATGCAATGTAGTCAGTGATAAGATATCTCAAGATACAGTGTACTATTGGTTATCCTTTAAATCTTTAAAACTTTCTTTGCTAATTATTTCACACCAAAAAAGTTGTATTTACCTTTTTCTCGAACAAAATATAAATATCTGCTTACGTTACCTTTTATCCATTCTTGGCTAATTCTTAAGTTTTATTAACTTCGTTTTGTTTTGTGTCCTTTTTTGACAATCTCTTTTTTCCTCGCCTTTGGTGGATAAATTTGCCCGACTCCTGACTACATTTTTCAACCAATTTTCTTGAAACCTTACATAGGTATTCCTCAAGTCAGCCACTGGAGCCCAATCAAAAGTCGAGGTTATACCTTTAAGGCCAGTGTCACAACTACATACTCTTTACATGCTAATGGAAAATGTGTACATTTGGCATGTCGGGAGGTTCCTGAATAAAGTTTTCATCCATATCTCATAAAATGTTATCTTGATGTCAATACTGGACGCCAGCAGAAGGTCAAGGTATTGCGTTCAAGGACAGGTCCTCGGCTACAGAATATTTGCTTCGTCTGCAGGTTCATGACTAGGGTTTTCAACCAAATTTCCTGAAATTCTACATAGATATTTCTGACAACAGGATCAGGTGAATTTCAGGGTGATATGTCTAGTAGTTCCACGTCATTGTTGTGAAATCTTATATGTCCTGATACCATAGTTTGCGCTACCTGTTTGAACATACACGCATTTTTAATTTCCATCACTGTCGCATACATCTAAGTAGATGTATACATCACCACATCCACCTGGCGAGTGTATTATGTACTGTTAACAGTATACTGTTGTCTTCCCAGCATATTTATAATTGTTAAACTACCTTTAGCTAAATACTGTCTATTTAGCCGTAACAACAGGCTATCTTTAAAGGCTGTATTGAAACACTTATTAATCTTAGCCTAGAGGAAGCAGCCACATTATGGAAAATTCTCGCCACATTAAGAAAGGATATTTAAACTGACGTATTTTAGACAGTTTTAAGACTTTAAGCGCATATGTTAAGTTTTGGGTCCACCTTCGTATTAATGATGGCGTGAATAAAAAGATGAAAATTAACAAGTTGTATATGATTGTGTAGTTCTTATTAATCATATATCATTCATACGTTATTTCCGTTTGAACAGAAATTGATATTAAAAAATAATATATATAAAAATTTAATAAACTTCATAGAGCGCTATATGTATTGTGTAAGTTGTAGTTATTCATGTGTCTACTCCCATTGTGTGTGTATATATGGCAACATTGAAATGTTGGAAATCAGCGTTTTTCAGTTTACAGTAGATTAATCTTCGGTTCATGCGAACTAAGATTTCTTCCTTCAAATCTTATGGCATTATCATTGACATTTATCTATATCGCGATTTACTTGTTACAACCATGTCATATGTTATGAATTATATTGTAACAGCATTTAAGTGATATTTACTTCACAAAGGACACTAGACAGAAAGATGGCGGAACTCTTCATCATGTGATCGAGAGTTTTACATTTGTTTTTTATTATGACTACCTGTAGGTAAAAAAATAAATTAAAAAAAAAACTCATTTCATCAATGTAGTATTAAATGGAAACTCATTTGGAATCCGTACAGTGTAAACTTTCTGGTTACGGAAGGACTTTCAAGAGGATTTTGTAAATTATAAATGAAATATCATAAAGCGTAGAAATTATTTGTCTGCAAAATGAATACGTGGTGATTATATATCCTTATTTTAATTCTGACGAGGTTCAAAAATAAATCACCGAACCTTGGCAAGTTTGTCCCGTTAAGCAAGCCGTGATTTACGTCTGCTTATTCCTGGTGACTTGTTACGTGACAGAAAATAGGATTAAGTGCGGGTGTTTCGATTTTAGGTTACACTGATCTACAAACACGCAAGGAAACGAGGGAGCAAGCTTGGAGCAAACCTGGCTGGGATGAATGTGTTGCGTACACTGGTAAGTGTTTTAAGACTCTTAGAAGGATTTTAAGGGAAGAAATTACTTTCGATGTATTGAAAGTGGAAAAGGGTCATTACAATATTTTCCTAATTTCAGGATATGACAAAGAAATCTTGACCTGATGAATGTGTTACTGAATCAACTTGATATATTTCAAATGTTCTTCCCTACTTTATTTATTAACGATTATTGCTGAATTGATAAATTACGTCTTTAAATATAGGTGTGAAATGTAATGGTTTACGTCAATACACAAAAGCATTCGTTGAAATACGAGTATTGTTGGTATCTCCGAGGATTTGCCAAGAAAGGATAAGAACATTTGTAACAAACCATATAGTTCTCGAGTTTAACAGTTACCGAAAATGATTTTCTTTTCTTAAACTTCGATCGAAATCTGTTTGCAGAAAACAATGCAAAATGAGAAAATTCGCACCATTACCATGTTAACATTGTTTCTAATAAATAGTCTGTGTTCCTGTACATTTTTTGTTTGAATGATTCGACAAATTTCCTAAATACAGTAACCGTTTCATGAGAAATTTAAAAAAAAAACGCATTATCAGCATTCAAGCAGTAAATGACGTGAAATGTGATTAATGAATGTTGATGTCACAGTATGACAACTGACTATGTCAATGTAGGATATAACTAGACTTACCTCGGTGAAAACTTAAAACTTTCCTCTGCCGTCACATCAGATTCTGTAAATCATTTCGGAACCCATTACTGTTATAATAATAATAATATACAGCATTTATATAGCGCCCTATATAATTTGTAAAATTACTCTAAGGCGCTTTACAACAAATGGATAATAGTAATGGTTATAATTGTGAAAACAAACAACAAAGGCTTGCAATCACTTTCATACATTTAACGAGCAATGTGCACATAATTAAACAAATAAAAGGGTGGTATTTACATGACGTCTTTGCAAAGATTCTAAAATGCAGACGTGAAGAGGTGAGTTTTTATGTCCCTCTTGAACTTGGCCAGGGTATTTGACTTCCTAATAGCAGATGGTAAGCTATTCCACAATGTAGCCGAAACCCTCCCAAAGCATCTGTTTCCGTAGGTCACAGTACGATTATTTATAAGTGTATTTATCTTGGGTAATAACCCTTCATAGTCTTGTTTTCTTCATCATTGAAACAAGCTTTTTGTTTAAATTTCCAGTGCCTCTGATTCGTCACATGCAGTCGAGGATATTAATACCAACTCCGTTTTCACCCCTCCAGTAGTCACGTGACCGACGAATAATCCACGGAGAAAGACCATCATCAATCGATTACCATCAGACTGTAATATCCCGTAGTTGTACAACCGAGTGTTGTCTCTTTGTCTATAACCGAAAAATACTCCGTGGGAAAAGACAATTTACTGTGTGCAGTCTTTCGTGTCGTCTGTCTACGGTTAATGAAGAATACTCGATGTGAAGAGACATTAATTTTTTTATTTTTTTTGTAGACTTTGGACTTCGTGTAACGAGACGTTCAACTTTTGTTCAGAGATATTGGACTGTGCTTAAAAAGACATTCGACTTAATGTTAAGGGACGTTTGACTTTGTAAAGCGACATTAAAATTATGTACATTCGATTTCAAATAAGGATACTTTAGACAACGTGTAAAGACACATACACGAATCAAAGACACTGCTGATCATCCAGAAGTCTCCAATATCATGTTGTGATGAAGATTTTTGCTTTTATTTTGACACATTGATCATCAATCAATTCACGACATTACTTTTAACACCACAGAAAAAAAGTAAGAATAAGAATCGTACTATTAAGATTCATGTCTCTTATGAACGCCCGGGGAATAAAAGCATGATAAGGTTTTATTGGACTGCAAGGACACCCTAAACATGTTGTTTAAATCAGTTACGAAAGAAAATATGTCAACGATATTTTACCTACTGCAAGTCTTATCGATAAAATTACAGCATTTTTTTAAACGTTACATTGTACGTGTGTCCGTTCCTTCAAGTGACCGAATGCGAATTAACTTTTCATATTTCCTGAATATTAGATAGAAAGTTACATGAGTATGTATAAAACATTTTTACCGGATCGAGTGTCCCAGATGGAGTACATAACTATTCACTATTCATTTTTAAGTTCTTGGCCCTAATAATCAGGCATACGAGCTTATCTTTCTACCTTCGATGTTGGTCAGTGTTTCTTTACGGATGTCAGGGAGCTGGAGCAATCAACGACAGACAACACAATTGTCATTATAAATATTGTATGTTGTGTGAAGATATATTAACTTGGGTTGTTTTGCCACTAGAATTTGTTTAACGAGATATCATAACTGGACTAATAAAAAAGCTGGACTTTGTACCTCTCTATAGTGAAGATAAACCGTTACCTTGGCTGGTTACCATGGCAGGATTGGGTGAAGGCCAGAAGTTTTAGGTCACACTTATACTGAAATGACTAGAGGGGATGAAATGGTGCTTTTTTCGAAACTATGTACTAGATTTTTGTGTATGTGTCGCACATTGTACAAACTTAATTCAGTGCTCTGAACTTTTTTCAAGGGGTAGAAAAAAAACATGCTTATTTTCCTTCACGTAAACCTAACTTGAAAATAAAGTACGGTTAAAGTTATGTGAAATTTGCAGTCAGAACACATCTTTTTTGTTGAAAATTTGAATTTTATATTTTATAGATTTAAAATTTGATATCGAAACCAGGGGTACATAATTCCACTTGAATTATTCTTCAATAAATCAATATTAAAATAGCTTTATATGAGAAAATAAAGACTCCGAATAAAATTAAATTGAAAACAAATGCAGGAAAGATAAATTCACTGTGTTGTTCAAAGATCTGAGTTTTAGGGAAGATGAAATTAATCTTTAATAAATTTGACTAAAGCATTAATTAAACTTGTTATATTGTATGGAAAGTGTTGTGTTTTAATTTGATGAAGAAGGGGAAATTTCTAATCCTGAAGAGGATCATAGTATCACGGACTTCGAGGATGGAAAAGGATCACACACCAGATGTGATTCTTACTAATACAGTTCACTATAGTAATGCAAGTAGCGGGAATTTGCTTGTTTTTTGTAAATTTGCGTATTGATTTCATTAAAATCACGTAATGAATTGCTCAGAACTTTCAAGTGTCACATGCATATTTTGATGCACAACACAAATGTGAGAAACAGATGAGAGACGTTGCAGAGAGAGATTAATAGCAAAGTTAAATGTGCTTTAACTGAAGTATTCAACAGTATCGCTTTTTCCAAGAAATTAATATTTAGATCCATGCATGCTTAAATCCGCTATTTCTCAAGAACTATTAAAAACATAACGAAGAAACTTTAAGGACATGTTACCAGAGGCGTATAATACGTATTATACGTCTCTGATGTTACGTAATATAAGGGACCTTAGATTGTGCATGCCACATTTTGGGTTTCATCGTATATACAAAATGGCCGCCAAATTCCACATGACGGTTCCCCGAGGTCCCTAGTTGTTCATATTGAATATTAGTACACAAGTTGGCCAACAGGAGGTCATCTTAGATACTTTAATAAATAACTCATTCATGAAGTTACAGCGAAAACCTCGCTGGTTTACAAACGGAAACTTTTCATAAAATTGGCCTTTAGCCAAGTATATACGTAGCTAGCGAGTTTTTCGCTGTAACTTCATGAATTAGTTATTTATAACCGCTCACCACACTACCATATACTACGCACACAACCCCAAGTAACACTTACATCAAATTGCTAAGTTTATGTTTGTTATCTTTTCCCCCAGAAATTTTCAGTAGTTTCTTGATCAGATTTCACATGGACCTTAGTTCTAACAAGGCAGAGCTGGGTTGCATGAAAGTCATTCAGTAATGAAAGTTTGATTTTAAATTTTAAGTCGTATCAAAGAGTGTGGAGTGTTTGACTTATTTATTCACCCCGTGGAGAAGAGAAAAGAACACTAACCGAACTTTCCTTGGTTTGGAAATTTCCATCTCAAAAGTGAATTGTGCGAGAGAAAGGTATGTCTACCGTCGGGATAACTAAAACTATTGTCTTGTACTTTGGAAAAGTCTGTATTACGATTATAAAAAAGTTCACCCATGGAATATTAGTTGTCTGTTGAAATGAGCATGTGCTGAGGAATGGGTGTAATAAGATTGTATACAGGATTCAGAAGTGTTACTCAAAGTCAACATATACAATGTTCACCTAAAAATGTATGACAAGGACACCGAATACATAGTTAAACTGTTGCTTTATTCAAAACGAAACAAAACAATTTAATTTAAATTTAAAATAATCTAACTTGCCTTATAATACACCATGGCATACTCAAAACTCTATCTTGTTAACGAGAAATTTTCAAAGTCTTCCGATATGGCAAACGTAACATGAAGCATGGATATATGAAAACAACGTACAGTGCAACAAACATCAGAAGATGTTATGCGAGTTCATTCCGTTAAACATCCATCTTGCCCTTGAACTCCAGGTTTTGTTCAAGGGTATTTACGATTTAATTTAATTAACAAGAGCTTGTTATCAATTTGCAAAGCTCTTGAGCAGCAAATATATCAAAATGCTAACATTTTGGGTTACAAAGAGAGCCACATATCAAATAGTCTAATGATAATTTACCTCTTAATCAATTCAACTAATAAATTAAACTTCATCTGCATAAAAGGAAAATGTTCACCCAAAAGAAAAGCACATAAAACACCGGTTATGTGGAGTATAAACAAATTTGTAAGCACAAGACAATATCACAAATCATCTGATTGATCCTCTTTGCATAAATACCATTGATGCTACTACATTGCCTCTTATTTTTTTTAACCCAAAAATAAACTAACTTTGCCTTTTCATTAAATTCCACCTATTCAGTATTGAAAATTCCACTGAAATGGATTTTTCTTCCACTGGTTGCCATCCCATGTTGATTTTCAGATATCATCATAGTCGAACTTCAGTGGGTAATTGATATAGCACGCATTTCTTAAAAGTTAAATGAAAACCTTTGAATTCCTTTTCAATAGTCATGAGATTTTTCACAAAACCTAAGTTGGCCGCTAGCAGCCATACTGATTTTCTGATGTGTGTCAAAATCAAACTTGAGCGGGATATCAAAACTATATATAAAAAGTTTTATGAAAGACCAAGCATTCCTCCAAGATTCATTGCACAGAAACCATTTGTGCAGACGAAAAACGCCAACAGTGTAATTTCTCTATGTAATTTTTCTTTAGCATATGATGCAATAAAGTTTCCAACCTTTTTCCTAAATCATTTTGATATCCTTACATGTCTTTTTTTTATGGAAAGAGAAGATGGAGCCAGCTTTTAAAATTGAACACTTTATCTGATGCTGTACATGTGCTATAGTGTTGAACAATACAGTAAAAGTGGAAACTGTCATGTCTGGAAATACTTTAGTTTTTTCGCCTTTAGTAAATAAACATGAATAAATTATTTCTGTCCCTTCCATGACATCAAGAGGCAAGTACACAATGACCTTATGGCATTGCAAAGAACAGGGAAGCATATTTTTTTTCTAGCATGTGAATGTCTTTGGTCATTTTAAATAAGCCAATCAAATGAAATCGATTCTGACCTTTTCATCACTTGTGCTATAACGGAAACATGTTCATTTGAATGGATTTGGTTGTCCAGATCATTTGAGTTCCTCCACAATTCTCTGTGAAGGCATGTAGGTACATGAAGAGGTCTAGAGTAATTGTTTCAAGGTTCCGCCACCGATCTGAAAAAGGACAATTGGGTACCCATAGAGAGGTCTTCATGCATTCAAGACCCTATCATAAATCTGCTTAAGGTCAATGAGGAACCAAAACAGTTTAAAGTCTTGATGCTTTGAAGACCCTGCCATAAATCGAGGTACAAACTATAAGGTACCACACAGAGAGGTCTTGATACTTTCATGACTCTTCCACAAATTCTGGTAAGGACATCGAGGGACAAAAAGAGTCTCAGTTCTTGATGATTTCAAGACTTCCACAAATCTAGGTACGGACCAATAGATACCCATGGAGACGTCTTGGTTTTTTCAAGATTCCATCACAAATCTTGGTATGGTTGGAATATCAAGAACTGTCTTGATGTCTGCTCTCAGCAAAGGATGCAGCTGAAAAACACAAGTAAGATGCTTTTGTAATATATCAAACTGATAGCACTTCAATTGTAACATCACACTGTTCTCTGCAAAATACAGTATTTTTTTTCTTGTGAAATTGCCTACGCTCCATCTTCGTTTAATAATACAAATATGATCATTTCAAATGTAATACAATTTTGGTGAAGATGTGATTATATGCTCCTGAAAAACTGATATTGACCTCGACTTTACCTTGGTCAGTATTGCTTTCTGAGGTCCATATAAGCATATATATTTACCGAAATAAAAGTCGAAAATTGATAAATAAAATTCAATGTACACTTACGTCTGTACTTTCTTCCTCTAGACATCTTTGCCTCTTTTCCAGTTCCTTTTCCATGGCTTTACAAGCTCTGCAAAAAATCGGATAAATTCTACACTGGCCATAAAAAAACAAGACTGTTATATACATGCAAACACCAACTAAATGTCATAAATACACAAAATACCAGCAGTGGCCACTTTAACATGTCGGGTCGGTTCTGATTTGGGGAGAACGAGAAGCCCAGAGAGTCACCAGTGCTAATCTGTGCCATCATTATTTATGTTTGCTAAGCATGAGATGCTCTGGGAATTTTCTATGTACATGATGTACATCAAAAAAAGATTAAAACCAAACTACTTGTATCATTCACATAATGCGATACATTTGTAGATTCTTCAATTTTCCTCATGACATATTCCTTGGGTGCAGAGAAAGTAAGAGAGCATAATCCCTGGAATTTCAGGGACGGATATTTGCAAAATGGACAAACTTTTATAACAGTTGAACACATTCTAAAAAAAAAATCTATAACACACAAGTTGCATGAAAGTCAAGCTTGATTCTTAAACGAAACATCTGATATTATATCAGTAGTTAAATGTCAGATCATCAGATACAATTTTGAATTCTAGATTTAAAGGTGTTGAAGGTTTGAACATATTTATGTAATCCCTGTTACCTTCAAAGTAGGTAAAGGATATTTACTTGAGGAAACTTTAGAGTGTTCAAACCTGAAATGTAACTCCATAACAAATAGCATGGCCCTCATACAAATTTTCAAAAGCTTTAACTTATAACAGCCTTCGTTGACCTTTGACCCCAGTGTAACAAATGTTTTAATAAAATATAAGACAAGATGTCCATGCATGACTGGTATTCACAACAAACTCAAGTATTATGACTTGACAACATGACTTTAACATAATGTCATTTAATGATTTTAACCTATTGGAACCCTGTTCTTAGAAACGAGATCAAGGTCATTTACTTTGAAGATTTGTTAATTTCATTTTAAATTCAGCACATTTCTTTTCTTGGTTCTTATTGTCTTCTTGGAGATGAGCAAAATAGTATTTGTATCATATTTTGATAGAATACTTTGCGAATAGTCAGAGAAACTTTTTATTTTGGTTTCAGTAAGAATATGATTTATATAAGTTTAAATACTTCTCTGCTTTTTGTACAGCACTCTCCAGGTCCTCCTGGTGCTGGGCTATGTCAGACAATGTTGAACTGTAACTCACCTGAAACACATCAAAACAACTGTTAGAACAGGCTAAATTCTGATCTTGGACTAGTTACATTACACATTGACGAAGGACTTGTAAATACCCAGCAAAAAAGGATAAGTGTCTAACCCTGAATTATTATGAAAACCTACATTTAACTTCTGCAGACCCTTGTAAGTGCCGAAAGTGTTCTTGGGTGTCTTTATTGCCTTCCACTTCTTCACCAAACTACAAAATATTAAGACATTTATATATTATATACAGTGATAAACGAACCATAATATATTTATCACAATAATAACAGAGTGGTCACCAGCAGTGACACTGTGTAGCTTCCTGTCATCATCAGAATATTGCTTACTGTATGTACAGTTAGTAATATTCACCAAAAAAATTGCTTTATTTCGCCGTCACCAAATTTAGCGCGCACTGAAATATCCAGCGAATATTAATACATTGTACCATAAATTAAAACCTCCGTGAAAATGTATTTACAGGAACAAATGAAATGTTCTTTTTATCCATTTACTGCCAAAGAATGAAGATAAAAAACAAATTCTATGTCACATTTGATTTGGGCAAAACATTCGTAAAATAAAACCCATAACAAAATATAAAAGTACACTTCTGAGACCAATAATTTTACCTCGTCATGATGAGTAAAATAGACCGAAACAAGCACGAATTACTAGCCTCTCAAAATAAAACATTTATACAAGACATACTTGTGTATATATAAATATAAGTTCACAGTGTTTGTGGTCATTTAAATGCCATATTCAAGTTCATTATAGCAGGGTATTTTATTATATTTTGGGATGAAATTTGGCTCTAGTCCCTTAGAATTTAAAGTTCAATGTGTTTTTCCCAATTTTGTCCAAAACCTCAAAATGGAAATTGATTGATGGTGCGTAACATCATTGTTCTGATCTCAATTGATTGATTGTATTTAACATCCTTGTTCTTATTATAATTGATTGATTGGTGGTACTTAACATCCCTTTTCTGATTATAACTGATTGATTGGTGGTACTTAACATGTTTGTTCTGATTATAACTGATTGATTGATGGTACTTTAACATCCCTTTTCTGATTATAATTGATTGACTGATGGTAATTAACATCCCTTTTCTGATTATAACTGATTGAATGGTGGTACTTAACATCCCTTTTCTGATTATAACTTATTGATTGATGGAACTTAACATCCCTTTTCTAATTATAACTGATTGATTGATGGAACTTAACATCCCTTTTCTAATTATAACTGATTGATTGATGGTTCTTTAACATCCCTTTTCTGATTATAACTGATTGATTGATGGTTCTTTAACATCCCTTTTCTGATTATAATTGATTGATTGGTGGTACTTAACATACCTTTTCTGATTATAATTGATTGATTGATGGTACTTAACATCCCTTTTCTGATTATAACTGATTGATTAGTGGTACTTTACATCCCTTTTCTGATTATAACTGATTGATTGGTGGTACTAAACATCCCTTTTCTGATTATAACTGATTGATTGGTGGTACTTGACATGTTTGTGCTGATTATAACTGATTGAATGATGGTACTGAACATCCCTTATCTGATTACAACTGATTGATTGGTGATACTTAACATCCCTTTTCTGATTATAATTGATTGATTGGTGGTACTTAACATGTTTGTTCTGATTATAATTGATTGATGAATGATATTTCACATCCTTTTTCTGATTATAATTGAATGAGTGATGGTATCTTGTTTCTGACTTAAGCTTTTTGATTGATGTATCTTACATCCTTGTTTTGATTTTAATTGATCAATTGTACTTTACATCCTTACATTCTATCCAACAAGCCTAATTTCTTGTTCTGGTTATTATTTAATAAATAAATCTTATTTTGTCAAAGATTTGGAAACATTTTGTCATATACTGTTTCTGTTAATGTTAACATTTGACTTTTTGATCGTTTGACATGATTTAAGTTAGTAACAAAAATGTAGGTTTAAGCACAGAATCAATGCTTGAGCATGAGAACGGTTTCACTAATACGGGCGCTGGTTTCAACTAGTTGCTATTTTTAAAACATACTTACCTATGTCTACATTCCTGGAGCTGTTCATTGATCTTAGAGTACTGGTCCTTCTTACTATTGGTTTTAATTGTACTGCAAGTAGATATATTTATATACGTATATAGATAAGTAATTAATTCATCCGACTCCATCCTCGATACTCCAAAGGTTACACTCACTTTCGCTCTCTGCACCCCTGGAATAGCAAAATTGAAGGCTCAGTGTGTGCCACCTTGTGGATGAGACAAGAAGACTAGTTTGATCGTTTGCTGTACATCAAAAGAATCTCGCTGTCAATGTAAAAATTGACAGGCTTTGAAGACGAGTGTCATTCCTTTGTAATCTTCAAAGGACAGGTATCAGCCTGTGATTGGTCAGGTTTTTTCACCCGAGACTAATTAAATAGCTAGTGGCCGTGGTGTGCCTTCAACTTTGCTATGACATATTCCAGGGGTGCAGAGAGACAAAGTGAGCGTAACCCCTGGAGTATCGAGGATGTGTAATATGCAGGACTGAAATTCAGATTCCTAAGGTACAGGGACCCAACAAGTTAAACTAACATATTATAAATGTGCCATCGCCATTAAAACATTTGTTTCAGTCCTTTACATAAAATCACTTGTTGTGATGCACTCTACAGGACTATAGTAGTTGATTGGTTTGGTTTGTTGGTGTTTTACATCCTTTTAACAGCTATGGTCATTAAAGGTCGTGCCAGGTTTTGGTGGTGGAGGAAAGCCAGAGTTACAAACAAAAAAACACCGACCTAGGCCTATAGCCAGTACCTGGCGACTGCCCCACGTAGGCCTCGAACCCACGATCCAGTGGTGAAGGGCTAGTGGTAGCAGAATGTCAGACGCCTTAACCATTGGCCACCGCGGCCCCATATAGTCGATGAATATTTGAATGTTTGAAAATAGAATAAGAAAAAGAAAGCACACAAAATGGCTTGGGCTGAATGCAGGACATTCACATTGCAAAGTCTACACTTCACCAGTGGTGTCAGCCAGGAATTATACAGGCTAGGCATCAAAATGAGTATCTAATTTATGGTCCGCAAAGCCTCTACCTTGACTGGGGAAATTATTCTGGCATACTTCTGGCATGTATAGAAAGTTCATAAAAAAATTCAAAGCATATCATATATTATCTCATGGAAACCATTTGTGGGGATGACAGCAATGCCAACAAGGTGATCCCTGTATGTCGGGCCTCTATATGTCTCCTTTATTTTGTAGGCAACACAAACAAAATTAAAGAATTATTTCGAACGAAGTGCGCTGTTGTTTTACCTTCAGTATGCAGATTTTATTTTATTGGAATATCTAAAATATCTTTTTTACATGTATTCAGAGGATCCACCTGTTGAAGTGGAAAATGAAATGATATCATACTTAACCAGTAGCCAAAACATAACATATCACATATAAGGAAAAATTATTCTTGCACCTTAGACAGAGATATCCTACGTCATACCCCATGCTAGATTTTTTCTATCTCGTCTGATCTGTCTTGTACCTTTATGTGACATTTCACAGCATTTTTACACTGCGATGTATTCATCAGCGCGTTAACTGCTTGAAATTGACAATTTGCATTTTAAATGTTCTGTTTTGTCGTTATTGTATAGTATAGCTTTTATGTTGTTAGATATTTGATGTTGTAGATAAAATATAATCTACACTGTGAAATACGTTGTCTTCCTTGTAAGTACGGACTACATTTTTACATGGAAGCATTCAAATGTAGCTTAAGTAGTGAAGAGGTCATTATCATTGAAGGCCCAAGGCGGGATACTTGTAGTTTTAAGCAAAATTGAAAAAAAAATTGAATTAAAAGGAGTGAGAAAGAAAATAAATTACCTGTAACTGAGCAAGATTGAGTTATCTCAGGCTAAGATACTGTAACATCCCAACCTCTGCTTACGCCTCTGTTACAGAATCTTAACCCTTGACTGAAATAACCCGATCTCACTCATTTACAGGTAATTGATTTTATTAGACTTCCATTGTAAGACAACAAGCCATTCGGATTGATATGTCTCGCCTGTGCCCTGCTTTGACCATCAATGCATATATCGGTGAAATAAATTCAACGTAGATGACATTTGAAATGAAACTAACTTAAACGCAAAAACTTCATGTTGATGGAGATGGCTGATGCTGACAAAGTCGATGGACCATGAAAGGTAGGCTGCATCCAGCATTTGATGCATGCATGGTTTTAGATGTACTACCTAAGATGCACCTGTGGCCCAAGTTTGGTTGGTCTAGCACTTATACTTTCAATGAAACTAACTTAAACGCAAAAAAAAAAAGTTGATGCCGCCACCGCCAGAAAAGCAACACCTTATATATGATTAGTCTTGCCTCTGCTACTTCGTGGGGGTCGAGACAAAAACCTAGAAATAAAACCTTTAAAAATATCTCCTCTACCTGAGCTTACCTGATCTTAACCAGGAAACATATCTTTTACTTTGTTTGGCCTAAAATATATATATGTATACCTGATTCCTTCATCTAGGACATCAACCAGGAAATCTTCAGATGTCTTGTCCATTTTCTTCCATCTTTTTATTTCACTTTCAGCAAACCTTTTGGTGGTCAGATCTGAAAAATATATTCACAATTTTGTCAGCTTATTTTAAACATGAGACAGATATATCATCCTCGTTTTTCCTCGGGTTAGACTCACCAGACTAGGTAGATCGTTTTGTACCAGATCGTACCACTTGGCTAGCGAATATGCAGATATAGTGAATATCCTTTTTTGTTAGAATGTATCATTATATATAATTTGTTGACTCTTTTAAATTTCAATAAAAATAAAGTCGGAAGGGATGCAAAACTTTAATTTTGTAAATATTTTTTACAGTGGAATTAAGCAGAGGTAATATTTTGTTACATTTTAACAGTGCTGTCTAAAATTAAACAAAACTACTTCTATTAGAGTAGGTATTGATGGAAATGGCATGTGATGTAAAGAGGAAACTGGGATCACTGCCTGCATCTTCATAAAGTTGTAGCAGAAGTACCAGTGGACTGGGTTGATCGTTGGCGAAAAGGTAGATCAATTGGTCTGGCCGTGCATTTTTCTGCTCCTGTTAAAAATTCCTGCACATGCCTATAGGGGTTCATTACAAATGTCTTATGCTGTACTGATGTGTGTCAAAGCACACATAAACACGCCTGATACACATATATGCTATTATGGCCCTTTCACGAGGGAACTATACCTCCCCAGACAACACTATAAGAGAACTGTTCCCGAGGGAAAAGGTCATAATAGATTTAGTACATCACATTACTGTCATTTGACGATAAAAAGACAAACATGAGGAACTTAATTGAAAACATATTTAATAATTTTGACCGTTCAATTCACTGGATTGAATCACCGCTAGGTCACATACGGCTCCCCCTTCCAGTAGGAAGTCTTTAAGGACTGCGACGGCAAATTAATTGTGTCGCCTACTTCGTCTTTATGCATTGCTGAGCCTCTGCGGAGCAATCAGCATTCCCAGTCCGGAATCTCAAAGCCATTTTGGCAGACGACAACAATGAAGTGAAAGTAGAGTATGTACAGCGCTCCCTAGGAGAAGGGGCGCAACTCTTAGCGTCACGCTTACTTTTCCCGCAGTCTCAGCGGTCCAAAAAAAGGTATAGTGCCCGTCTCCAGGTATAGTTCCTGTCGTCAAGGGCGGAAGCTAACTATACCAAATAGAACAAGGGTAGTTATCCAATAGCTATCCTAGAAATTATCATGTTATGTACTAAATTGATATGGGTCACAGCACACATAAACATACATGTTTGTGTGCTGTGACCCATATATATATGTAGCCCGTGATTCGTGGGAGCATACCGAACCCACAGGTGGTAAACACACTAATAGTAATATGATGTGTATTTATTACACAATTAAACAGTGATCAATATTCTACATGTAGTTAGTTTGTTTTGGTCTTTTCTCGCTGTATGGTTAAAAGATAAGGTCCCATCATGTTAAATTTCAGTATTTTCAGAAATGCTATTGGTCAAATCAATATTCTATGGGTACATGACCCAGGACTCGTATGTAGATTTATCACTGATACAAATCATATAACTACCTACAGCTGTAGTTTGCCCAGCACCTGTGACCGAACCTTCCAAATAATGTAAACAACCCTGTACGATATCATGCGCAAGGAAGCTTCATGTGACAGGGTATAATTTCACGTTTACACGTAACTTCGATGAGAGGACACACAAACCTGCGCTACGAGAACCAAATTTCCTCTTCTTCTTTCGAGGTGGCATTATTATTGTCTATTTCCTTTGCTAAGAATCTAGCCTACCAGCCCAATATCAAGCTCTGTCAAATGTCCCGCCGAGTTACCATCTAGGTTAAAGTGACGCTTACATCGAAAATGGGTAACACTAATATCCGGAATTTTTACAGCATTCACAAAATGTCTGAAAAAAATTCTTATGAAAATTACGTTAAATGAAAATATTGAAATCCTAACAACATATGTATTTAAAAATGTATATCATATAGTTCAGCAACAAAGCACCAAATGATTTCAATTACAGCACCATGAGGTAACAAGATAACAACTAACTCTACCTGACGATAATACAGGGGAGACAACTCTGAAAAAATAGACGAAACCCCACGTTTGCTATGTATAGAGATTTATTTTTTCATTTGAATAGTTAAGAACGCATAACTTTATCAAAAAACATAACAATTTATTGAGAGTGTGACCGTATCAAAACACAGAGTAGAATTAATCAAACAAATTGACAAAAAAATCCAATGATATAATATCAAAATATGCATTACGCATTTTTTCCCAAATTTGCATCGCCGGGATTATTAACCAAACTTTCCAAGTAGAAACCTAACACTCGAAAAAATGGCGGTAGCTGTACATGTTCGAGCTACACAAACATGTAAACAAGTAGAAATGGAGAGTATATCAAACGGGACAACTTACTGGGAACAAGTACCGTCACAGTACCCAAATCGGGACAGTACCCAAATCGGGACACTTGAAGGAAAAAGTCACAAGAAATGTGCATGCTGTGCAAAGAAATATTCTAAAACTGAAAATATTGATTTGAAGATGCTAATATACCAATAAAACATTATATGAACTTTATTTACTGCCACTTATACATTTTAGTTACAATCACAGTTTTAGTTTGTAAATAATGACTAAAATGTAACGTTCTAAATTGATGTGCCATGCGACGTTATTGATTTTCAATTTGTGTATGTGATTTTTCACCATCCTTCTATTTCACAACTTAATTCAGAACGACCATTGACTCTGAAATATTCCAAAGATATGCCATGTTCTGCTAAATACTTTTTTCATCTCCAAATATAAGCCAAAACTGGTAGGGGTGTCCCGATTTTGGGTACAGGTACACCTGTTTCGCGATTACGTAACCATGACTATATTTTAGGGTTTATTTATAGAATCATGCGCCGGAAATATCAACTTGTTATCAAAATGAAAAGATAATGATATTTATTTAGGAAAAGAGGACAAAAAAAACCTCGGATCAGTACTTTGGTTTGAAATACATCAATATTTCACTAAAAAGTATCCCGATTTGGGTACTGTAACGTTAGTATAATGGCAACAAGTTAATTGTTTTGCTCTAGTGTATTCATCTTCAGAGGCCCTAATAGTCGGAGACTAAACAGACAACGAAGACTTACCTGAACTCCTCAGAGAGCTTAACAGGAACAAATTTACATAAAAAAATTCATATCAATTAAGCGACTTCAAAGGAAATTACAAAAATACAAAACCTAATCAAACTGAAGGCATGGGTCATTAAGGTCATTGAACAAGATGGGGGAATCAACAATAATTTTACGGACAAAACAACGGCCGATGACGTAAACCATTACTTTGAAAGACGCGGACACAATCTTGCGTGTAATATACCAGTCAGATGTTTTTGAAACACAGTCAGACAATAACACAATCAGTCACTGAGGAAGAGGTCCTCATAGCAGCCAATGGACTCGACCCAAACAACACAAGGCAGCAGATCCAGACAACTTCACTCTAAGGTCATCTGTGAACTGCCAACAGAAACTCGCAACACCATCTAGAGTCGTGTTCAATAAATCCATCCAAGACAGCAATTTACCAATCAGCTTGAATGTGCACAAGTACGCTATTGAGAAATCGCAACACCATCTAGAGTCGTGTTCAAGAAATCGACCCAAGACAGCAATTTACCAATCAGCTGGAAATATGAACATGTACAAAAATATTATAAAAAAAGACGTAAGACATTTGACAAAGTCTCCTACCGCCTACGTATCCTCAAGATTGAATCAAGTGGAATTCAAAGTAACATACTTCAATAAAATCTAAGTCCCATAAACGTTTCCAATGGTGTACCGCAGGGAAGTGCCATTGGACTTGTATCATTCCTAGTATATGTAAACGACATGCCAGAGATTGCTGACAGTATCATACAACTCTTTGTGGAGGATACCAAGATTTATTAAAACAGTACTCCGTCCTCATAAAATTATGACCCTGGTTGTTTGAAGGACGTTGAACTCAAAACAAAAGTTATTTGAACATATTGAAAGGAAAAGCTAAATTAGCTGAGATACTAAAAGCACCAACAAATTGTGAATGAACCGGTCATTGGCTAAATCCTACTGAAATCCGACAAATGTTCACACACGGAAAGAAACAGGAACCGACTCAATCAACAGACGCTTACCATTTCATATGAATGACAAACAACAACTAATAATAAAACTGTTAAAAAAAAGTTTTTTGCATAACCTTCCACAATCGGGATCTCCGGCAGGGTGGTCGGGTGGTGCAGTGGATAGCACAATTGCCTTTCACCAAGGCGGCCGGGGTTCGATTCCCCGATTGGACGTGAAAAGGTTGGGGTCACCTGCCCGATTATGTTGGTTTTCTCCGGGTACTCCGGTTTCCTCCCACAATAAGACCTCCACGCGCTAACATCCGGGCCAACAAGAGTGATTAATATAAGTTGAAATAACTTGTTTCATAATTGTTGTAAAATTAATAGAGTTTATATTTATCTCCGGTTTAGTGTTAAGTCAGTGTCACTATCACGAAAGCAAATAGAATATGGGTAATTATTGTTAGGGCCTTCGCATCCATGGACCGTACAACCGTCTTAGTCACAACACGATTAAAGTGTACACTCCAGGTAAGTAAGTTATGGTGTTTCCAATGGCAGCGTGTTTTTATTTACAAGTTGTCTGGTACAATATCTTATTTCTCCAGATGACTTAGGTTTATTGTGTAGTTTTATGTACGGCCTTAGATTTGCAGTGTCCCTGACAAGTAAAACGGGTTTTCTGGACCTCTATATAAAACGACGCTTGCTGCCAAAAAGAGAAAATTTAGTAATTGAACATGCAAAATGTCATTGGCTGGTCATTTTCAATCCCTTTATTACCTCAAGGTAAGTACCATTTTAAGCGTCAAAAGTAAGGGCATTTAATCGTTGGCATCTCTTTTACCCTTGTGTTTCTATGTTGATTGCACATCTTAACACAGATATATATTATACTCTGATATCTAATAAGTAAAATTAAGTTAACAGATCATCAAAGAATGTCATAGGATCATAAAAAATCAAAATCTATTGTAGCACGTTATTGACATAAGCCTATGACTGGATACATTATGAAACTGCACTGACCATGCTTTGTACTGTTTTGGCAAAATAAGAGGAAAATGGCATGGTTATATTATGACAAGCTTTACATTCTTGGCGTCAATTTTCCGACTATCTTGTTTACCGTACACTCCTTTCCGTTCCCATGCTGCAAACAAAGGTTACCTTTCATGACTCCTGTTTGACCTTGAAACATCAAATGATTTTGCTAGTTCATGTGACCCAGTAGCCCAGAGTACAACATCATATAGCTTTGCCTTTAAAACCGTAATTACAATCTTTTCGCCCAGTTTTACTATCCATGTTAATAATTGTTTTTCAATTTGATAAATTTCAAATCCCCTAAGTTCCTCCATTAGCATAACCAGGAGAACTTGTGTTCACAAAACTATCAACGCATTCGATCAGCTTCATTTTGAAGCTTCTCCTCCCGCTTCGATTAACATGAGACAACCGTTAGAATCAAACATTCTGGTGACGTAAGGCTGTTCCATGAATCGTGTTTGCGCTGTCGACACAGTTACTTCAATATCGAAAATATAAGAGAATATCTTTATATAGGTCAATAATAACTAAATATTTAGAATGTAAATATAAGGATTGAACGGTATTTTTTCAATGTTCATGCCGTATGAAATTGAGAAAAAATATCTTTGAATCCTTATATGGAATTGTTTTAATTGTGGTCAACACAAGAGTCGTGAGTTCGGTTTGTAGATCGATGAGCGTTCAAAAAGACTTTGAGGTCGAGCCCAATTCTGTACCATTCAACTTTCCCGTTGGTAATGATGATTTGGAGGAACTTTGTAAAGACTTGAACAAAAAGATAGTTCGTTTGAGCACATGACTTTTGTTTTAGCATGATAATGACTTTTGCTAATAAGTGTCATAGTTTTATTACTCTTCATTTGTACATTTCTTTGCTTATGTATACCATATAGACTCATCGATTTTGAGTTCGTCTGAATGACGGTTTTGACTACACCTTGGTATTTTCTTGTTAATTTTAATCAACTGTTGGTAAAAACAAGATCATAATCATGCAGTCGATCACATGAACATTAAAATGTAACAAAAAGTCAGCAGAAACCGTTCTTTTATGAAACAATCATTGGGATTTGGAACAAGTTGTAAGTGTAGCTACCTGTCAGGCCTTGTCGTCATATCAGACATGGTTTCAGTTTTATGGTAAATACTGTTGGCTGTGATAAATGGCGTACATGGGGCTACTCACTCATTAACCAAAATAACAATAGGCTTGACTCTGAGAAAAAACAGAGAAGCACTGTGCAGTAACATGCTAAATCAGCTTGACTCTGACTTTATGAGAAGTAAGCTTGACTCGGTAGACCCTGGAGAAGCAACGTGACTCGAAAAATCAGAGAAGCTATGATAATGGTAATATTCAGCTTGACATGGAATCTGTGAGAAATCACTTGACTCAGAAGATTGAGCTCTTGCTTAAAGAAGTGATTTGACTCCAGACCAACAAGCAGGCGATATAGAACAAGGTCAGACTAGAGCTTGACTCTAACTTGTAGAGAAGTGCTTGACTCTGAAAGACTCATGAGAAGCCCTTGACTCGTACAAGGAGAAGTCTAGCCTAACTTCAAAATTTTAACTGCACATTCTGATACAACATAGTAAAACTTAATTGATAAATTGTAATAAAACTGTATGAATGTAAGAATA